ACTGCTAGAGAAGACACTATCAGTTCTGGAGCTGAAATGGAGCAAATTATCTCTCGCCTCTAACCGAATGCCCCTCTCCTTCCCTTAATTTAAAAAGGCAAAAAGCGCTCATGACCGTATTAGCTGTTACTGTCAACAGTCCACATTGATCTTGTCCTTCTTTGGTTCCCCTTATCTTACCGATGCTTTGCCTTCCTATAATGGGTTCTTTACGTAAAACCTCGTGGGGTCAAGGGAGGGACCCAGGAGACCTGCGGTCCGGCTGGGCTTTGCGGCTGTTACGTGGTTCACGTCCCCAGCGCTCCGCGTCCTGTGTGCCTGATGGCAGAATGCGTGCACGTGCCCGAGGAGTCTAACTGTGTGAATCCAGATGAAAGGAAATAATGGTGATGAATGAGCATTGGCGACTCCTATACTGTAAGGCAGGAAGCCTTGTCATCTGAATATTCTGCTCCCAGAGCGTGTAAGGTGGTTAAAAATTTCACGTCCTGGGGTCGCGGACCACGGTCACAGTTCTCCAGCCGGAGCCCCTGTGCTGCCCTCCCGTGGGAGGAGCGCGCCTCGCCGCCCCGGGCCGCAGAGCCGCTCCGCAGCCAGAGGCCGGGGACTTGGTACGGAAACACACAGGGGTATGTTAGAGAGTAGGGTGCAACATCGACATGAGTTGTAAATATGCAGTGGGAACAATGAAAAATAACATTAAACTTGAAGCAGACCAATTTGAACCAATTAAAAAAAAAGCATCCACCTGGTACGCAAGAGGTGGAAGGTGAGATCCGAGAGGTAATGATCCAGTCCTGGCAGTTTATACTTCTGCCTTCTGTTCCAAACCATGTGGTTTTGCTTACAACTCCCTCCGTACTCTCCCACCCTCCCCAACTCTTAACATAGACCTGTTTAGGTGACTAATGGCCTCTGTGACACCCTAAATAATATGCCATAGAATTATATGTATGATTATCTTTTCGCCTCTCAAGAACTTGGAGAAGACCCAGTCTAAACTGTAGCCCTGTCAGAACTAGCTGTGGGACACTGATGGAGTGGATTTGGGTTTGGATACGCTGATTTTCTTGTTCGGTGTTCTCACAATACCCCGTATCTGATTGCAGATTGCGGATTGCGGGGTGAGCAACTTGATCTCAGGGTAGACGCAGTGAAGGGATGTAATTAGCCTATTAAGTTCCGCTAATGTGCTGTGAAGTCATTCAGGTGAGAACGCGGGACGTATCAGTTGCGCCTTGGACCGCCGCAGGGCGCATTGCATTTCCACAGTTTCTAGGTCCCAGCGCAGGAGTCCGCTGGCTCAGCAGGACGCGCGGCCTTCTCTGCTCGTACCGCGTGCGTGCGTGCGTGCGTCTGGAGTTGTGCTTTACCACTCCCTGTACTCTACAGTCTCCCCGCTGAAACTGTGGGCTCCAGAAATCACTTCTTTATCCCTCGTACTCTGGTATATACTAGCCCACTTACTAAAACCACCCATTTCTTAGTTGGCCAAATAGTAAATACAGTGCATGTGGCATAGAGTGGTTTGTGTTTTATTTTTTGGGGAGGGGGGAGGGAGGTGGTTGTTCTTTTGTTTTCTTTTCTTAAGGGAAAAAGAATATGTGGCTTATGATTCGAGAAGTTTGAGAACCAAGGAACCAGACTCACTCACTTTGATGACAAATACTTAAGCACCTCCTTTGTTCTGGGCACTGTGCAGAGCCTGGGAGCCACAGCATTGAACACTGTAGGGAAGATGCCCTTTGTCTGGGGATCTGATGGTCTCAGTGTTAGGCCAGTTTGGGGATCATATTGGACAGAAAGTCATGCTGGTCGGGGGGTGGGGGGCCGGTAGACTGGAATAATGACAAAGGAATGGTTAAGGAAATGGGGATGAGGAAACCACCACATGGGACAGGTGAGAGATTACTGGAGGGAAGCCAGGGAAGTGAGATATGATAAGGTATTAGATGCAATGTCCACAGGGCCACCAAGAACAATAGATAACAGAGAGAGGGAACTCATTAGCTATATGCCTCCACATGGATTTTAACCAAAGAATAGATCCAGAATGTAAAGATCCACATTTTAAAATCAGTTTGATGTTTTTGAATTTGAACCAAGCTTGAGTGGTATTTCAGAACGTGACTGTACCTAAGTCGTTCCTAGAAGAGGCTGTGTTTGGACAGACAGTCTAATTATCACAGGACTGTGCTAGGTAGGTCTGCCTCAGAATCTAAGATTTTTAAAGCCTGCCTGGTGATTCTGAACATGGCCAGGTTCGGTAACCACCAAGTGAAATCACACTATACATCCCTTTAAATGGAACTGTATATAACAAATTGCCGTAAAGGGGAGAAATATTTTAGCAAAAGTTATTTCATATTTAGGATTTATTTGAAAAGATAAGAGAGTGGTGCTAAATTTCACAACTAGAAAAATCTCAATGTGCTCTAGCAAGAATTTTTATATAGCACATGGGCTTATTTTAATTTTCTTTCTCCTGGTGTATAAATAAACAGTGTTATCATTCTACTGTTGACTGTGTAGTGACTTAGAAGTTACCGCATCAATATTTTGGAGAAATGATATACTTACAATCTGTGCCTGTATACTTTTTGTTAAAAGTCCACTTTTTCTTTTACTGTTGTCTTAGACTTTCCTCATAATTTTTCCTCTGAATTTAGTAGTAAACACACCTTTTCACCACTTCAGGTCTTTTTGGCATGGTTCCTTATGAATCTTTTATATCCTCTCCATCCCTGAAGGAACTATATCTCAGTTGTCTTTATATTTCTGAAGCCCTGGCATAGCGACTTATCAAAATAGATAAATATTTGATGAATAAATGAATATGAAATTGAAGTTAGAAGTGTCATATTAAACCAATTGTTAGTTCTCTGATCTCTATATTTTCCTTTAAGCATCATTACTTTTAGTTTCTGGAGGAAGTAGTGGGTATAATGACATGTAGCTTTAATAAATAATAAAAGTGATACTGAGGGATTTATAGGAGCTCAGAAAGTGCCAAACCCAGAGCTCTCCATTTGCCCAACAAGCGGTCATACATTCAGGCCACGGGATGCATACGCTGCTCGTGCGTCACCCAGGTCTCCTCCTTCCTGGCAGGGCTGCTGGGGCCTCCTTCTCGCTCCACAAGCACTAACTGACGCTCGCTGGGTGCAGGTCTGAAAGAGGGAGTAGGATCCTAGCACCTGGTCTCCCTCAAGCTTTCAACTGCAGAGTGTTTGTTGGTGCCCCATAGCACTCTGGTAGATACTGTTAGGATTAACCAGTCTTGAGTGCACTAGACCTTCTCCTGGTACCACTGAGTCATTCATTTACTGCCCACCAGCCTCTGTGAGCCTGTGTGATGGAGAATGACAGTAATCTAGAAACCATCCCTGACATCAAGGAGCTTATGATCCAGCTGGGCAAAGATAAAGTAAACATAATGATAAACGTTATGATGGGAGCAGCATACTCTGCAGGGCACATAGAAGAGGCCATAGACTCAGAACGAGGAAATCAGGAAAGGCTTCCTGCAGGAGGTGGCATCTGAGCTATGAGACAATGAATCTGCCTTGCCTGGGAGTAGTGGTGAGGGGGGCTCTGATTCTGGTGAAGGAACAGAAGAAGGGGTGCAGATGCAGGGAGCACTTAGGGGACTCCATGTGCCTCCGTGTGGCTGGAGGACAGGAGCCAGGTGATAAAAGGGCCCTTATTCCATGTGAATGAGTTTGAACTTGGTGATTCTTGAAATAATGGGGTCCATCACAGGGTTTGGTGTGGAATCTGCAATATTGAGAGAGAGAGAGAGAGAGAGAGTAGCCATAGAATTACACAGTTGAAAAACCCCGTAATCTCTATCTTTTTAGCAAGTCGTACCCTGCACCAGAGAAAAAATTGCCACAGCTGCAGCGGATCACTTATGAATCCAGAGTTAACTTGAAGGCCCTAAGAAATTAAATGAGAAGATCCTCAAAAGTTCACGAGACTGCACCTTGGGGGTGGCGTGCACTTGATTCTCTCTGTAGGTCAGGGCTTGTTAGTCATGAATATTTTCATGAAAATAGGACCCTGACAATCTCAGTCTGTCAAAGACCAAGGTCACCTTATTCACGCAACATAAAAGCTCCTTGACGAGGCTGAAAATGTGTTCCCAAAACCTATTTCAGAATTTCTTCCCTAATGGCTTTTGTGAGTTTAGATTGAAGGGCCTTAATGGCACATTAGGGAAGGGCAGTGAGACCTGAGAGTGGGGGACGGGGGCCGCGAGGAACAGCAGTGCCATTGTTCTCTGATGGGGGGGCCGCGCTTACAGTATGCGTTTCACGAAGATTTTGAAAACCCTAGAAGCCTTTTCTCTAGGATTTATCGTGAAACTCCTCTCATTACTGGAAGCAGGTGGATCTTTCTCCCTCCTGCAACTTCCAGGATCTCACCAAGGCGTGGAAGACTGGTCCAAATCTTAATGAACCACCCCATATTTATTAACGAACTAGAAAATTGTAACATCATTCTAAAGAGGACTCTAATCTCTGCAAGTTTAAAATAAAATCATGTTATCAACCATTTTTCTTATAGAGGCTTTATAGTCACTACAGATTTACACAGATGAAAATGATAATGATAATAAGTACTAGTATCTTATGACCATTTAAATGCCCACTATGACCCTGTGGAGCAATACTTATGTGCGTAGATAGGATATGCTATTGAAATTAAGAGTCTGAGCGTTTGAATGAGGGAGACTCAGTTCTTCCACTTACTATCTCTGACCTTGGGCTAAGTTACTTAGCTTCCTGAAGCCGCAGTTTTCTGACCTAGAAACCGGGGGTGTTCATGGTAATCGTTTCTTAGAGTCACTGTGAAAACTGAGTAAGATGGTGAGTGGTGAGGGGCCGGTACATTGTTTCAACCCTACTTAGCATTCTTGAGCATGTTCCCCTTTGGTTCTGTTTGTTTGTTGTATCACGAGCAACTTTCTCTCTCTCTCTTTTTTTTAACTCCCCTAGGGATATGAAGCCTGACAACATTTTGCTTGATGAACATGGTGAGTAAATAATTTGTTTGCAGCCAACATGACTTGCATATAGGACAAAAATGATGATCCCCAGCGAAGGAACATTCCCCATAGAGAAGGTATAGAAGGTGTCTTGCTTGACTGACTTGAGTTATATGTACAGACTCCATTTTACAAGTGAGAAGGGCAATCTGAGGAAACTTCAGCATTTACAGCAGTGGCCTAGTACACCAGCACATCCTTAAACATAACATTGAATTTGCATAATGAGAAAGTCCTCTTTTCAATGGCCTTCCACCCCTACTGACTTCTTCTGGAAAACCATCTCAGCTTTTTGGTGCTGGTTTGCCTTAATATCTTTATGACCATCATCGTCTTTTTTTCATCGAGACAGAACAGCCCTCAAGCTTGGAGCATTTGGCAGGCAGTGGTGTCTCCCTAGATATTAGGGACACTGGTTTGTTGGCATTGTGTCAACTTTTATGCTTTCCTTCTTAGAAGGGCAAGTTGGGTTTACATTTGCAGAGGAGATGTCGAGTTTTCTGTTCACTGATTTGTCCGTTTAAAAAATCGGCCAGTTTATGCCCTGGCTGGAGCATCATCCCATACACTGAAAGGTTGCGGGTTTGATCCCTATCAAAGCACATACCTAAATTGTGGGTTCAATCCCTGGTTGGGCACATTCAGGGAGCAACCAATCGATGTTTCTCTTTCTCCCCTCCTTTCCCTCTAAAATCATTAAATATACTTGGGTAAGGATTATGAAAATCAGTCAGTCTAAAGAAAAATATAAAGTAGATGACAATATATATGTACCCAGATAGGAACGTAATGTAGAAGAACCATGAAGGGGAAAAATAAATGCTTGCAGTTCAAGAAACACCGATTAAAGATATCCTGTAGGACAGGCTTTTGCCACAGTGATTAAATGTGTCTAACCTCTAACATTCATTTGAATGTACATTTGGATTTACTGGTCCACCAGAGTAGACCTGTAGGATGCACAGCCTGCAAGTTATAAATGTTACAGTGGCAATAAGATCCTCATTCCTTTCAGAAAGCTGCTAGGTAAGTCGTAAATCTGCAAAGCTTCTTACACATTTGACCAAAGGGATTTGCAAGTGGGGCTGAAACTCCAAGTACCACCCATTGCATGATTTATTTACTCAGTTGCATTTTAAATGTGATTTACCAGACGCGCTCTGTGCTCAGAGGGCTAAGAAACACTTTTGTGTATAACCTCTAATTTAAAAGCTCAGGATCATTATTTATTTACAGGCTGCCTAAAAGGATTTTTTTCCCCCCACTCTGTTTCAACACCTTATTTCTTCCTTCCCTTTACTGCTTCGGACATTTGGGAACAGATTCTCTGAATTTCAGAAATGTGAGCAATGGTGAAACTTAGCATGAAGGTGACTTTCGTTAACATGCCAGCCCACCCTGCCTTAAACAGGATGCAGGATCCTCCCTCAACCCGGCGCACAGAAACTCTTCAAGAGCTCCACCGTTGTGGATGGGGCCTCACCTAGCATATAGAGGCCACCTTGGCACAACTTACAAAAAGGTGCTCTGTCTGCCCACCACAGTCTCACTAAGGTGCATGTCCGGCTGGCCAAGCAGAACCCAGGTTGGGCTTCTTGTTCCCACCTGACCCAGCTGCCATTGTTTAGCATAGGTATTGCTCTACCATTCACCGAGGCCCTGAATGGGACATATAGGTCCTGCCAACCAAAACCTGTTCAAGATGTACCATCCATTTCAGAGCACAGTGTTTTTATCTTAGATCTCAAACATGGTTTTATCCTAATTTTACCATGAGGCCATTCTGTCCTGTCTCATTCAACTTCTTTTACCTCCTTATCGTCTTGACCACTAGGTGGCTGTAGATTTGGAGAAAGGTCCAGGAATAAATTAATCTGCAAGTTTAACCATTTTTAGAGACTACCTTGTGAAAGATTAACTGTATAATAGAGTTAAGAGCATGGATTCTGGAGCCAGATTGCCTGAACTCAAAACCAAAGAACATGTGATACATGTATACAATTGAATACTACTCAGACATAAAAAGATGAAATACTGTCATTTGTGCCAACATGGATAGATCATGAGAATATCATGCTAAGCAAAATAAGTCAGATGGAAAAAGTCAAGAAGCGTATGATTTCTCTCATAAGTGGAATATAAATCTGAAAGCAACAAATGAACAAACCAGACCCCCCCAAAAATACACAAAAGCTCACAGACACAGACAACAGTATGGTGCTTACTAGAGGGGAAGGGGGATGGGGGGAGGTAGAAGAGGGTAAAGGGGGGCGAAATGGTGGTGGCAGGAGACTTGACTTTGGGTGGTGAACACACAATGCAATACACAGACGATGTATTATAGCACTCTAAACTTGAAACCTATATAATTTTATTAACCAATATCAACCCCAATAAATTTAATAAAATTAAAAGAAGAACAATTCACCCACTCACTAGCTCTGAGAGTATCAACAAGTTTCCTAAACTGTCTCTGCTGCCTTAGTTTCTCCAGGGATGAAAAGAATATTTATTTCTTAGGCTCATTGTAAAAATGAACTGACATACTATTTATAAAGTGCTTGATTGGAATAACTGCCAGAAGGAAATGACTCAATAAAAATTAGATGTCCTTTATCTAATTTTTTGTATGATTCCATGAGTTAGTAGGGGTTTTCTTTCCTAGGGAGGGAAACTTAGACTACTTCATCTCGTTTTATGTCGCTATGCCTCTATCTGAGATAGTGAATGCTGGGCACTTCTTTTGATTCCAAAGACTGTGTGTTAGGTCCTGTGTTTAAGCAATTTTGTTGAATCCCAGTTCTCAGGTAACTGCGTTGCTGGTGGTCCATTCTGCTGTCCTTCATGTGTGCAGGGAGCTAAGCCCACTTTTCAGGGCACTTTGTTTTTGCCGGGGCTGGGGCTCAGTTGCTTAGGGGCCGTGAGCTGTTGTCCCAGTGGGCCTGGGGAACAGTCCCAACTATACCTGTTGTCGGGTGTACTAAATTCCATGACCCCTTTTCTCAAGTTTTTGGATTTGGACAACAAATTAATGTGGGGCTTTTATGTATTATATTCCCATCCTGAACTCAACTTGAGAATCGCTCAGTAAGAGAAGCATAGCTTTGGGAAGGATTGGATATATGAATGGAATCAGAGCAGACAAACAAACAAACAAACAAAGATTGAGAGCTATTCTCTAAACGTTGTCCCGGAATCCCTTTCTGTGGAAAATAATTCTTGAGGTTATTTGCTTTCTGTTTATTCAGATTCTGAAAAACTAAGGCTTTCAGGCATTGCTCAGGGACTGTAATTAACCACTTTTCACTGAATCAATTCCTGGTAACCTCTACCCTGAGCTCATTACACAGAGTTGCTCTTGGGAGAATTAACTGAACCACAAATCAATGCTGCCTTTTGGAGGGTCTTCTGGTGTGATTTCCCATATTTTCTCTTTGAAAGCCCCATTTATTCTCTCCCATCAACATTTATATTTTCCACCCCTGATGGGCCAGCACACACACCTCTTACCTGGGGACACCTAGCAACTGTGAGGGGTAATTGCCTATTGCTGATCTGCCTCCTACGCCCATTCCTCTAAGTGTGCCGTGTGTGATGGCACATTTTTTATATATTTCATTTAGCACCACTCAGCAACAGGCATAAACTGTTTTATGCCAACTGATTCATGTTGGTTCACATTCATCGCAAAAGATTAATATTTAAAGGAGCTAAATCCTTTCATAAAATGGAAACTCTTTCCATGGTGTGAATAAACATTCTTTGCACATCAGAACGTGACTTAAGAAATGATTTTTAACTTAGAGCATACCTGCTGTTTTCCCCAAACGTCTCATTTACTAGCTCAGAGCCCAGGAAGGCATTAGATCTTGGATGGCACAATACCAGTTCTCTGGATAAATATTTTCATATCCTACCAATTTAAGTACCCCATCCAATTCTATCAATTCCATAGTGTCTAAATTCTTGTGTTTTTCTGAAGTTATTCAGGAAATAAATGCTGTATCCAGAGGAAGTATACTGTCTGCCTGGTATATCTTACAAAATGACAATTTTGGCATCATCTATAATTTAGGTTTCTTAATATCATCCCTAGTCATAGGGGACAGAGAAAAGCAAATACTCAGTCTAGGGGTATGAAGAAGGTCTAAGCTTTCTATCGTGGCAGCTCCTCCCTTGCAGAGTCCCAAAATGTGCCTAAAAATCAAGTGGGCATCATGTTCTCACACACACACACGCCTCTGTAAGTCTGGAGCTTCTGATCATGACAAATAGCAACAATTGGACCCTTACTTCCTGCCAAATGCTGAGCTGTCTCCTGCAATCTCTATTTTCTTTGATCTTCCTAACAGTCTCTTGAGAAGACTACTATCCTCATCCCAGCTTTACAGAGAGAGAAGCCTCCTTTTTAAGTCGACAGAGCCAGTCAGTGATAGAACCTGGACTTGAAGCCAAATAATCTGACCTCAGAGAACGGGCTCTTAACCACAGCATCTCCTGGCTTACCTACTTTGTATCAAACCTTGCGAAGGACTGATCCAGTGCTTTGAGTATGACTTGTGGAGAAAAAGAGAAACAAAAAACAGACCCCCTATACTATGGTAGGATGAGTTATGGGAATCACCCACAGGCACCATTCAAGCAAGAAAACCTTTGACTGTATTAAAATGCCGTCACATAAACGAACACAAACACTTTGGGCACAAAACTAACCCTGGCAGTAAAGGCAGTGAAATTTATCTTTAGCTGCAGGCTGGATGCCAGTAGAGTCGATAGTAAAGTTTGGCCCAGGCAGCCCCCCATGCACATCTTTGGGGTGCAGACAGAGAGAGAACATGCAAATTCCACTCAAACAGTGGCGCCTGCTGAGAATCGATTTTTCCCATCCACATTAAAACCACCTTGAATAACACTATTTGAAGACCTGCTGTATCCACATTCATGTCTGCTTTACAGTAAAAATGTTTGTCTCTTAAAAAAAAAATCCCATAAGAGATCACTGGCAAATTGGTATTTTGAATAGCTCTTGGGTTCCTGTTGATACTCACAGGTTAGACCAACTTAAAATGCTGTGAACAAAAATTGCCTAAGTGTAATGACAGGGCATGAGCTCTTAACCCCCACAGTTAATGCTTCTTGTGGTTGAGCGACAGACTTACAATCAGAGATACTCATCTTTGCATGTCATGTTCTGGCTGCTGGAGGGTCAGCTGGCTGAAGAACATATTGGTATATTTTTACAATTTTTAATGGTTTTTTAGGGAGAGAGGATGGGAAAGGGAAAGGGAAAGGGAAAGGGTGGGTGAGGAAGAGAGGGAGAGAAACATCGATTTGTTCTTCCACCTATTCATGCAGTCATTGCTTGATTCTTGCCTGTGCCCTGACCAGGGATTGAACCTGCAACCCCGGTGCACCAGGACAACACTCCATCCATCTGCGCTACCCAGCCAGGGCAGAACATATTAGGTCTTGAAGACAGAATAATTGAGCTTTTACTGCTAGTACCCAAAGCGTAGGAGCACTTACAGACTGAGCTGGGAACAGAAGCGTGGCTGTGCCCCTGGGTTGAATGGACTTAACATTCTCTGTGGTGCTTCTCTCCCACCAGGGCACGTGCACATCACAGACTTCAACATCGCCGCCGTGCTGCCCCGTGAGGCGAGCATCACCACCGTGGCCGGCACCAAGCCTTACATGGGTACGGGCTTCGGGGCGGCTGTCCTGGCTAAGGGCAAGCTTTTGTCTTTCATTCCTGTAGACACCCTTTACTGCGGGTCCAATCATCTGTGGGGACTTAGAGCTAGAAAGGACAAGCCCCGCTCTGGCTTTACCTGGGGAGCTTCGGATGCTCCATTCAGGGAGCACCCCGTCTGACGACTCAGGAGGGCCATTGATTACACTTTGAATGTACTGTTTTATAGAGTTGTTTAGGACAGCATCTACCCACTTCCTGACAAAGGGGATTCATTAACTCAGTAAATGTCTGCTAATTGCCTCTGGGTGCTTGGCACTGTGGTCTGGTGATGGTGGCCCTGTATAGTGAGCAACACAGACGAGGACTCCCGCCCAAGGAGCTCCCCTTCCAGTGAGAGGAGTTTAAAAATAGAATCAAACAGAGAAGACAGACACAGAGAAAAAGTAGGATGCTGACAAGTATTATTATAACCGCTGTTTACATAATACTGCATTAGATGCAGAGGCTGTAAAGTTTACGGAGTGCCTTGCAGTTATAATTTTAGTTTTCATTCCTTTTATAAAGATAAGGAACTGGGTTTTGTCCAAAGATTTAAAATTTACCCAGAGGGTACCTAAAGGGTAGGGAGTAGTGCCAAAACTGTCATTTAGGTTTCCCATTTAATTGTGCTAACAGTCACGGGTTAATATGAATTCCGCGTCCTATTGTTGGAAGCAGCTCTCTCCCCGCAGGTACCATACTCACACAGGGAGGCCTCAACCCCTGTGTACCCCCAGAAATGTAAAGGAAGGTCTGTTGCCCTTTCGGGGGCATACGGTCTTCCGGAAGACAGAAGTCTTCCTCTGCTCTCCCTGCTACTCCTAACATAGATGAGTCGGATCTCAACAGGGTGTCTGCAAAGTCGGTGCCTGGGTGTGCGATGAGGTGCCTGGCATTTCAGTCCTGGTTGATGGCTGTGTAGTCACTGGATTTGCTGACCGGTCCCCGTGCTTATAGAGCAGAGTGACCATGGCATGTTGATGAGTGTGGAGTCCAGTCTTTCTGGGAATCACTGTGGTAGGGGCCAGAGACAGGCAGCTGTGTGTATGTGGCGGGGGCGGAGGGAGCAGGAAGATTGGCTAGAAGATGGGGGTGAGTCAGCTTCACAGGGGTCCCTCCAGGGCCCACGGGGTGCGGCTTGGGAGGCAGGGAAACTCCGGTCAGCATGGCTTACTGGAGGCGGGGACAGTCCCAACAGAGCCCAACTACGTCAGTCTCCGAGGTGACACCCAAGCAGAGTCATGTAAAGCTCTTCAGGAACGGTAACGTGCACTGGGAGCTGAGGACCTCTACGGCAGCCCCTGAGCCCCGCCAGCCATCGGACGCAGCTAAGGAGAGATCACTCCAGGGCGGTGCAGGGCACTTGAGTGTGGACCCCCGCGCCTGCGCACTTCATCAGCATCCTAAACAAATGGTCCTTTCTCGAAAAAGAGAGGAGGTCCGTGACACTTGGAGTGGGCATCTGTCTCCCCACCAAGGTGGCTGGATCCAGCCTGATGGCATCAGGGAGCTTTGGATCAGATGTGAGACTGGTTTTAAAATTTGCAGGACTGTCTGAAGTAAATATTTTAATAAGCAAATGGGATTAAATCTACCAGGCAACAGACTGAGCCTCTCCCAAGGCATCCCATGCTCAGCCAAAAAAGGAAGGCTAGACACTGCATCGTTGTTAACGGATAAGGAGGGAATAAAAATGACATGCTTCGGCCCTAATCAGATGCTTAAAGTGGATGGTGTCTCTGGTTAAACTGGTGGGATTAAATTAAGTTGCGGTGGAACGAGTTCACAGGCAGAATATTTGTACTTGAACTCAAGGGCAAGGACAATGCCACTTTCTTTTAATATTTCATTCTTCATGCAACTGAAGAGAGCAAAGAAAAGAGAACCCCCACATACAGGGCTACATTGCTTTCTAAGAGAAAGAAATCTACGGAAGAAAATGAGCCTTATTTTATATGATATTTGAACAACTGCAAATTTTCTGGCTTCCAATGATCAGTGGGGGAATAAATCTCTTTCGTCACTTGTAAAATAATGGACACATGTAATTCAGCCTATTTTCTGCCTACACCCATGGTACTCAAGTGATATAAAAGCCTATCCAAGCCTGCTGGTCTGATGAGTTTAATTCCGCAGGTTTCCTGGGTTGCCATATTAAGGACTATTTTCTTGGAGCCAAACTAGAAAATGTGCATCTGGGTTTTCTAGGTCTGGTTTCCATGGTGAGGGGAGGAAAGGGAGGCCACCTTTATTTTCTTTCTCCAGTAATTTCAAATACAAGATCTATATAATTTAATTCTCCTCAAAATTGGCATTTCTTGTCTTTTCATAACACAAAGCTTGGAAATTGGAATCTGGTCAAAGTTCTCTGTGCCTCTCCATTTTCACACTTATAATTAGCAATTACTAATATTTATTGAAAGCTTTCTGTGGACCAGACAGAGTGTTAAATATCTTGCATTCATTTACTCATTCTTTTTTTTTTTTTCTCAACAACCCTATACAGGCAGGCTATAATTATCACCATTTTACAATGAGGAAAATAAAAAGCTAAGTAATTTGGCCAAGATCCCATGGTTAGTAATTGAAAATAGCCCAGATATAAACCAAGGTCTAACTTTAGAAAATCAAGCTTCTTCCTGCAAGACAGAAATTTTTTTAATGTTATTTGTGGTTCTTTAATGGTTGTAAGCAATTTAAATAGGGCAAGCTGTTGGAAATATTTCGTTTTATTAAGGAATGAATATCTGACTATCATCACTTATTTCTTTATTCAGAATTTGCCCTTGGCTTTGATTTTTGGATGGCATCTTTCTAAGAGGAATCATGGATAGAAATCATCTTTTTTAAAAATTATTTTCCCAATAGTTTGGCAAAATTTACCTGACACTCACCGGAACTCATAACATTCTTATAGGGTCCTAATTAGCAATTAACCAGAAAGAAAGAAAAAATTCGGAAAAGAAAGAAAACTTGGATTCAGGACTGACTGGAGATTACAGGAATATGCAATAGCTATTAATAGGAGATGCTGGGCATATTATGAAGCAGTTCCTTGGCTCTGGAAATAAGATGGTGAGCAGCCTGCCAGTTCCTAACCAATTTTCATTCATAATCTTCTAATTACATGCTTCCTCCCATCACTCCAGCCCTCCCTCCTCCCTCCCCCCTAGGTCTGGGGGACTCTGCTCCAGACCACTCAGAGCTTCACCAATTAAAACAGGCTTCTCTTCCAAAAACAAACAGATTCACTATGGAAAATGTATACTATGCAGGTAAGCAAAGAGGACATTATTAAATTAATCCCCCCTCTTACAGATATTTATGCTTTCTTTCCAGAGCTTTAGTCTCTGCTCACTCAGACGTGCCCTTTTTTCAAGCTGGATCGTATGGAATTTTTGTGACCTAGAATTTTCCCTTTATAAAATAATCACAGTAATAACAGGCATCATACCGTGAGCATTTATTATGGCCCAAGTGCTTTGCTAAGTTTTTAATATTTATTGCATCATTAAATTCTCAAAGCCACCCTATGCAATTGGTTTCATTATTATTCTGACTTCACAGATTTACAAAAACAAGAAAAAAACCAATTAGGCCTAGAGAGAAACTGACATGGTCCTAATCACACAGCAAGTGACTGGTAGGGAGCACAAAGTTGGTTAAACCCGTCTAAAAACCTCTCAAACAGATGGTCGTGCTGATGATGGTATGTATAATGGCTCACACTTACTGAGCTCTTCTGTACCCAGCACTGTTCAAAGTTCGTACGCATGTTATATCATTTAAAATAAAAACAATTCTATTGGCTGGTACTGTTGTTATTGCCACTTGAGGCTTGCAGACTGAGAAGTTAAGCTCAGCCCAAGGGGAGCTGTGGATGCAGCCCTCAGGGGCTGACCTCAAGGCCCTGACTTCACCCTCGGTTGGGCCACCTCCCTCCCTGGGCCCGGCAACGTGCCTCAGCCAAAACCGAAACCTGCTTCTGACCTCAGAGCTGGGTCTAGACAACTGATACTCCTTAGTTTTCCATGCCCATAGGTAGAACTAGTGTTTTTCAGGGTCACATGCTACAAAACAGAGGGCTCCATCACAATCTATTTCTCCAACTTCTTCATTGAATGTTAGGTTGTTTCTCATGTTGAAATATAAATTCGCGATAAAAATCCTGCTCACAGAAATATGTCCTGCAACTTAAGTATTTCCTTGTAATAAACTCCCACAGAATTCCCTCTGGCCAGAGGGTGTAATGCTAGTGCATTCCCTCCTGAAAATTCACATTGATTTCAGGCCACACTATCAATATCTTAATGTTCTCAAAAAGATCAGTGAAAATGGTACCTCCTTAGAATATTAAAATTGCATTTCTTTGACTTCTTTTGTAAAGTGCCTGTTTATGTTTTTCACCCATTTTCTATTAGAGTTTTAATCCTTTGTTTGTTGTTTTTTTACCCATTTTGATGTTTCTGAATGATTAGAGAATTCTTGCCTTTATATATTAGGAATATTGAATTCTAGTGCATCATGCATTATAAGTATGATTCTTTTTAGATGCTATTGTTCTTATATTTTGTCATAAACTAGTTTTCTAACATCATCAAATCACTACTTTTTTACTTTATCATTTCTTTTATGCTATTCTTAGCAAGATCTTCTTACCTCTAGATTTTCAATATGGTTACCTGATATTTTTATTATAGTATCTTTTTTATTTAATCTGGCTATATATTGTCTTGACTGACATTATGAGGTAAGGATCCAACTTTATTTTTTGTTGGGTTATTAAATAATTATTTTAAGATCATTTATTAAATAAGACCTTTTCCATGTTTACTTGAAATGTAGTCATAAATTAAGTAATTTATACACTAGCATGTATATGCTGTGGCTTTCAAATCTTAATAATGTGGCTTTATTATATAGTTTACTACATGGAATCCAAGTCTCTTTATGCTTTTTCAGAATATCATTACACTTTTTTATAGATGAAATTTATAATCATTTTGTAAATTTCATCCATTATTTTTATTGCATTAAAGTTATAGATTATGTTTGGAGCCCTTTTTTATATCCTGACCAGAATCTATGCTCCAGTTGTTTTAAATAAATCTGAAAACCCTATGATAGAAATCCAAATATTTAATAAACATGAAAACATGGCCAAGCTTATTAGTAATCAGGGTGATATCAGTTTCAACCACAATCAAAAACAATTACACACTCCCAAGATTGGCAAAAGTCAAAAACTTAGTTAATACAAAATGTGGATAAGGAAGTTGAGCTAAGGGAAGTCAGATACATTTCTGCATCCGGTTAGTGAGAACAACCACTTTGATGAACAGTTTGGCCTTATCTAGTGGATGTGAAGATACACATTCCATGCCTGGCAGTTCCCCTGGCATGAATGTATAGCCGTGTTCACAGGGGGTTGTTCCCCCAAATTGAAAATAATCCAAATAGCTATCAACAACAAGATCGGTAGGTAAATTACAGTATGTTAATAAAGCACAGAATGTGAGCAAACTGAAAACATAGGCAGCATTTTGGATAAATCTTACATGTAATCTTAAGCAATAAAAGCAAGACAGCAAAGAAAACAAGGAGTGGGATTTTACATATGTGAGATACACATACATATATGTTACATGCACACATATACCTGTTATATATATAAGGGTGAACAAAAGTAGGTTTACAGTTGTAATACAAATAATAAATAATACAAAAATAAACTCTTGTGTTTCATATACTCACAACTGTAAATCTACTTTTGCCCCCCATGTATGTATATATGAACACGTATATAACATATAGGCAAAACTGAAGTATTGCTTAGGAATGCACACATAGATAGTAAACCTATGTAGAAAAAGGACAAACTGCTGACCTAAATTCCGGATTACTTCTAGGGTTGTGAACATGACAGGAACAATGCTGGGGTCAAGAGTCTATTTTGTGACCCCTGTAATGGTCCCCTGCCTGTTTCCTCATAACGACTTGTTAAATTGTTCTTTTATGTTATATCTCCTTTCCTGAATGCAGGTTGAAACACTTTAAAAACCAGACAAAACACCCGGTGGCCTTTTGAAGGAGGCCGGCCCCTGTCCAGCTCCATCTGTACCCTCTCAGGCAGGGGAGCCACTTGCAGGGCTGACAGGAGCCCCACGCGGTCCCTCTGCTCTGGCTTTCCAGCCCTTTGTGGGCTCAGAGAATCGCTCACTGGTTGTGCTTTTGTACATTGGCACGATGTTTCTTCTTCATGTTCTACCAAAATCCCTCGGTGCCTAGCACGCGGTGAATATTTTTTGAATGAACGAACTCATATTCAGATGCCATCATGCTGGAAAACAGTAGAAAAGAAACCAAAAAAGATGCTCACATAAACTCCAAGGATTATCGGAGATGACAGCATTCACAGCTTACAGAGTAATGTTTATTTTGATAAAGAAAACGGCCTTTTCTTCGCACGAAGGTCTGTTTATCCCTCAGAGTTCTCCGCGTCTTCTCTAAGCGAGCTGTCAGCCAGCCTGGGGATCGTCGGGAATGACGTGCTGTGAGACACTGAGAAGGGAAAGCAGGGTTTAGCCGATTCCATCCAGCCTGTGGGGTGCCACCGGGGCAGGGCCACTGTCTCCCCAGTTGCACAGGGACCTGTGACGGGCAGAGAGCATGCAGTGAGGCACGATGAGGCAGGGGACGAGGCCTGCTTGGTCCTGCTACAGCAGGGTCTCACAGTCAGGGTCGGTGCCGGGCGCCGGGGTGTCAGCGTTCCACCTCTGACTGGGTGCTGTCCGTAGGCTTTCCCTTAAAACGGAGGGCACTGGGCAGGGCGAGCCTGTGTATTCGGGCCTCATAACCCAACAATATTCTTTGTCCAGAGCCAGCACCTCTCTCACTACCAGAGGAGGGGCCAAGTGTTATATTATGATAGATGCTCGCCTCTCTAGGAGTTGCCTAATCTTTTGAGCACTTTCCGGGTGCCAAGCACTGTGCTAAGATTTTGGCATGTACCGTCTCACTTAATTTCTCGGCTCTATAAAGATGACCTTCTTATTCCTGTGATTTGGTTGGTAAGGATTCTCAAGCTCAGCCAACGGAGTTGTTCAAGGTCACAATAAGTATCGGAGGCAGGTTTTGAACTCAGTGCGGCTCCAGAGCTACTGATTGCGGCCATTGCTTGATTAATGGACTCAGCATCATTCATTCATTCACTCCGTGAATGTGTCTTGAGTGATTCTGAAGGCCAGGTTCAATGCTGGACACTCGGGAGGCAGTGGTGAGAACACGCAGATGAGATGCTTGCCCTTGCTTTGTGTTTCGTTCTCCCTGCTCCACCCTCAGGAGTTAGGGATATTCTTGGAAGAGTACGTAGAATGGACAATAGAAGGTTCGCTCCGTGTCAAAGTGCTTAGAGAGCACCCACTGGGGGTGTCCACTGGCCTTAGAAATGACTGTAGCCCTGCCTTCCACTGGAGTCCACTCAGAGAACTATGCAGCCGAGTGGAAGTGCCCCACGGTTGATGTTAATCAGGCTATCACTCAGAGTGCCCACTCCCGCTTCGCTCCCGCCCTCCCTCACCGCCATCGACACGACTGAAATGTTGCACTGGTCTCTTCAAGATGACTGAGAGGGAGGGCCACCCCGACGTACATTGCACAGACTCGAGTATTGTTTGCAGCCAGAATACAGATTTCAGCCCTTTCGCCCACACCTTCCCAACCAAGCCGGCACATATCATCTCAGCCTTCTTGGTTTCAGGCCCAGCCACATGTTTGCGGCCTGATGGGCTCTCATTTTTCAGAGGCGCACGTTCTAAATAAGGGAAGAGTGTGTCCACCAAGGCCTCAGTCTGCCTGTCGTGTTGGCTGATGAATGAGCCTCCTGAGAGAGACTAGAAAATTAGAAATGCTGCGCGTGAGCAACCTGGTAATGGATGATGAGCCTCTACACAAGCGTGTCTGCCCTTTACCCTGGTGTTTTGCCTTCGGAGGGCCACGGTGGGAAGACACATTTATTCACGTCTCGGGGAGTAAAACAGACCTCCTTTCTCTGTGTTTCCAGCACCGGAGATGTTCAACTCCAGAAGAGAAGCAGGCTATTCCTTTGCTGTTGACTGGTGGTCGCTGGGGGTGACAGCTTACGAGCTTCTGCGAGGCCGGGTACAGTACAGCTGCATTTCTCTCATTTCTCTTGGTTATTCTTCTAGCAATTTCGATCTTTAGAATGAAGAGATGGAATTTTTTTTTTTTTTTTTTTTTTTTTTTGCTAAAAATCAAGCAGTTTGTTTGCCAGGTAAAAGTGACTATGGCACGTGATGCTATTAGCAGCCCTTGGGATTTCTCATTCATTCATTCTCCTGGCTATGGGGCCAAGTGTGCGAGTTTATATTAAATTATGCAGATAAAATTCAATGAATAATGCAGAGATTATAAACTCCCGGGGGGGGGGTGAATACGGCTCACTAAATATCTTGTAGAAATATATTTGTTTGTTTGATGAAAAGCATTTTGCAGTGATGGTACAGGGCTCTAACTCAGACATGCTTTCCCAAGGCAAGTGTGAATTATTAATCCAGCACAATGCATGCCCTGTCTTGTGGGAGCCCTGCCTGTCATTCGGCTCCTGGGTTCTGGGTTCACTGGCAAATTGCAGTAGTTTCCTTTTAAAGGAAAAGTTTCTTAAATTAGGGAAATGCTTAGGAAGACTTTTCCTAAGGAAATATTTTTTCTCTCTCTATATATTTACCTCTATGCTAGTTCCCTGTTATCTCTCAGAAGTATCAATACTGTCAGATTCTTTTGGGGATGGGGGGCCTTAGAAAGATTGCTGGGGGGGGGGGCGTGCGCGTGTGCGTGTGTGCGTGTGTGTGTGTCAGAGAGAGATTTAAGTTCCCTTCTCTTAGCAAATTTCAATTATACAATACAGTGTTACCAACTTTAGTCATCATGTTTTACACTGGATCCTCAAACATTATTAATCTTATAGCTGAAAGTGTGTAGCCTCTTTCCAACCTCTCCCTGTTTCCCGCACCCCCAGCCCCTGGCAACCTCTTTCCTTACTTGTTTCTAGGAGTTCGACTTTTTTCGGTTTTTTATATCCCACATGTAAGTGAGATCATGCAGTATTTGTCTTTCTCTGACTGATTTTACTTAGAATAATGCCTTTAAGGTCCATCCATGTTGTTGCAAACAGCATGTATTTTTATATATCTATAGTGCAACCTCTTTGTCCCTTCATCTGCTCATAGGCAGTTGGCTTGTTTCCATGTCTGAGCCTTTGTGAATATGCTGCAATGAACATGCGTGTGCAGTTTGTCCTTCTAAAGCACAGATGTGAACTTGACAGACACACACACACACACACACCCTTCACATGACTTACCCCCGCCCCACCCCACCCCAACAAACACAAACCATCTTCAAATGCCTTTGCTTGGCATCCTCTGTCCTTTAGAATGAGGTTAACATTTCAGATTTTGCTTCAGCTTGAATGACCCAGACTCATGATTAAGTCACTTCAGCCTCTTTGGATTTCTTCCTCTCCTGAGGCATGTCCGGCTTTTTTATTTTTTTAAACCTCGTGTTCCTTTGCCTATAAAGATATTTCCCAAGATAAACCCTAATCTTCTTTTAAAATCACTCTCAAATTAGTTTGGGAATTGCTAAATTGAATTTGAATAAAGTTAAGGATGAGTCTTAATTGCAAGACCTTTCAGAATCTTTCTGTTCAATGTGTAGGGATCCCTTCCGACAAAGAACATGCCATTAGACTTCCCAGATTTCATTGCGGGGGAGGCCTTCTCTCCAGGTTTCTTATACAGATGCTACCCGTTCAAGTGGCCCCTGACAACCTGGCCCCTTCTTGGAAGAAACTTTCTCGGATCTCTAGCCAAAGGGGTCTGCGTCTCCCCCAAATATTTATGCACTTTATTTCTCTTACGACCCTTCTGAATTTAAAAGTATTGGAAAATACAGAGAAGCAGAAAAATGAAGGTAAAATCGACTATACCCACTAAGGCAAAGAATAGTCCCAATAAAAAATTAAACCTCCCTTTGACCTTCCAGTCTTACTTTTCAGAATTAACAGTCAGCCGTACTCAATTCCACACCTTGTTTGTTCTTATAATCTATTTTCACATACACACATATACATTATTGTTGTTTTAGCAAAACCACAATATGCTTTATCTTTCTGTTGAGATTTCTTTTTCAATTAAGATAAAATGTAGCACATTTTACATCAGAACACCTAAATCTGTTTTAACTTTTTAGGGTTAAATCCATTTTGTAAATATATTGCCCTTGTAAATTTTTTCCAGGTGTATCCTTTTTTTGTTTTTATCCCTTCTATATGATTAAATTATAAATTCATTAAAGGTGAAGGATGTATCTTACATACTTTAATAATAGCCACAGTGTTTCGCTTTGACTAGGTGCATAGATTTGTATTGAGTGAGTGGAGGAACAAGTCACTACAAATCAGTTCTGACACATTCCAGGAAAGAATCACCAAGCAGGCCGTGCGTAATTATGCCGCAAAACAGAGCTAATCTGAAGAAATGAAACACAACATTTGATTAGAACTATCAACATGACTGAGCCACAGAGAAAGCATGCACAGCAATTTCTCCACATTCACAAGTGTGCTTAGAAATACCCCCGTGGTTTCTGACCTTGATCACGGCCTTGGTGAACGGGTCCCCTAGCCACTGACCTGCTTTGCCATCTCTGTCTCCCAGCTGTCATTGTAAAGGCAAGGCCTGTGGCTTCTCTAGTTTTGTATTATCCATACTATTAGTTTGTCATAGGGACATAGGGAATTTTGCACTGAGGGAACATTCCTAGCTGCAGTTCTTGCTTTTGTGCCTCTGGAATATTATCACCAAATATCACTTTCTACCACCTACATTTTACCCTTTCCACTTCATTCATTCTTTGTATTTTCACTCTTAATAGAATTGTTTTCTGGATCCTGTCATGTACTGTAATTTTTCTTTAGGGCATGAATTCCATTTATTGAAGTGTGTGTGTACAGTCTATTACTATTTGTGGTTTCCCTAAGGAGACTCTTAAGTTTCACCAACACAGAAATTATGTCTGTCTTGTTCTTTATTGTTCTTCATTCCCAATGCCCAACAGAGGTTCTGGAACATAGTAGGCATTTATTAAATATTTGGCAAATGAGTAAATATATAATTTTAGTGGTTGGTGAATTAATACGGAATGAGAAAAATAAGTCATTGTATAAGACAAAGGCAGTTTTGACTATTTTTTAATACATTCATAGGCCACGAGGATTTTTAAAAAATGTTGAAAGTCAGTTGTACCACCTTCTAAGTAAATGAAAACACTCTTAAGCCAGTTGCCTGTGGTGCTCATTAGTTAATTATTCACTTATCAAGTCATTTTGTATGTTCCGATGACTAAGAAACAGTAGGTTAAGCAGCAGCAATGAGTTGAAGAAGGAAATTAGAAAGAATGCACATGCACGTGTGTATAACCCTGGACGTCTGGTATACCCACCTGGCCTGCCCCAGCTCCTACTGGAATCCATGGAACGGCTCTCACCTGGGGGCCCACGGCGCCCCTGCTAGTAAACAGTCAGCAAACGCTGCAAACAGTGACCAGCTACCTCACGCTCCTGTTCTGATAGTGTGTTGCCTGGGTTATTTCCACTACAGGGTCTTTGAAACCAGAATTAGCTGTGGTCCTTTATTCAGTCTTGAGGGAGGGAAACACGTGACAGGTGTTTTTAGATCTCGCATAAAAAAAACAAAGACTCTATATGTCTAACATAGATTAGCCATGCTCTTGTGAACTTTACATGTATTATTCGATTTTCCCAACAATCTCATGAGGTGGTTCATGTTACAAATGAAGGAACTGAAACTCAAATTGAGTTGGCTCTGTTTGGCCCTCAAATGCTTTTACCTTTTCAGAGCTGGGAGGTTGGGTATACTAAGTGTCCAGTCCTCAAACACTTAATTATATTACCTTTTAATACTCATTTACAACAGAGAAAAAAAAAAACTCCTCCATGTCTTCCAATTCAGTTCCTCAGTCTACAATCACATACCAAGTATCTCAAAAGAACAGGACACTTGCTTGATAAATGTACAATATCCGTATTAACTGTCCTGTTGTTGGTTAATCCAATGTGGAAATTTTGTCCATTCAACAACCATGTAATGAGCACCTAGGTACTAGGTGCCACTGGCAAAATGTGAGTATGGTATAATCCTGTTTTTTTAGTAGTTATCTCTCCATTAACTTAAAGGAGAGACAAAACCCAAGTTGATGCCTCAATAGTAAAATTACTATAGGTAAAGGCTGCCATCTAGTGGACATTTGTGAAAACTGTAATAAAGCCCCCTTTTTCCCTTGCCTGCAAAGTTGAAACTGTAGAACCTGGTTCTCTCAGAAGTAAAAGTCCTTTTGCCTCATCATAGAATTTGCCAGCTGGCTCCAGAGAACCAGGGACTCCTAACTCTTGGGACAGGGTTGAAGTCTGGGTAACCTTCCATCCTGAATGCATTAGTTATGATTCAAACAAGTGAAAAGAGGTGTGTTGTAAAACTCTGAACCCCTTTACAATCAAACCAAGTAAACAACTATTTAAAACTACAACTTACTGACATGTGCCAATATTTTATTTAAATATTTCTATAAGTTACTTTACAAAACAGTTCTAAATTAGTCTTTCAGAGAGGGATTTAGCCCACGGAAATGTTTTGTTTTGCCCAGTGAAATCACCAACTATCAAAAACTCTTGAGACTTTAAAAGAAACTGTAGGTTTTCTGGTGTCTTTTTTATAAAGTAGGAGACCTGGTGACACTGGACCATAAGCCTATGTCAACAGCACGGCCAGCTGGAAGGGACGAGGACATGACAGAGATTTTTACAGGCTGAAAATTTAACTTGGAAGCATTTACAAAGCAACGTTCTCTTTTTCTGTTTTACCCTGCAAACATGAAGCCTCTTCCTTCCTCTCTCCCTTAAGAGACCATATCATATTCGCTCCAGTACTTCCAGCAAGGAAATCGCACATATGTTTGAGACAGCTATTGTGACTTACCCTTCTGCCTGGTCACAGGAAATGGTGTCACTTCTTAAAAAGGTAAGAAAAAGAGGATTGCACGACAAAGGAAAACGATAAATAGGAAGCACGCCTTCTGGTTAGAGGTTAGGACGCTGTGCTGGAGACGGTCATGACAAAGTCCATTTCCAGAGTGGGCTTTGCAGCCCGTAGCGTTCAGATGCGTGGCCTCTTTAAGGGAACGCCCACGACCTCTTGCATGCCCGAAGGCCCATTAACCCAGTGCGCCCCAAGTGGCGCTCTTGATCTCTCTGTATTTCCTGGACTTTCTCCAAGCGCCCCCATCTCAGGGCTGGCCTCTCCATCTGCTCACGTACGCAAGCCAGAAACCAGAAATCGCGCGTCACCCCATACCCAGTCCATGACCAAGTTCTGCACGTTGACCTTCGACATATTCTTTGAATCGGGCACTTCCCTCCGTCTCCACTGCTACAACCATCAGGTCTTGCAACTGGTTTGCCCCTGTGCGTGCTTCCACGCTCCATCCTGTTCTCTGTTCTGCCCCACAGCGATCTGTTCAGAGCAAACTCTATTGTCCTCCCATTGTTCTTAGGATGAAAGCCATATATTATTTGTATGATATAAAGGTTCTAACGACCTCTCGAGCCTTATTTTGGACTTTTGTCCACCTTTTGACTACACATAAACTGCTTTAGGCTTTTTCTCTCATTTTCCCCTCCCCCTCCTCATTCTCACACATCAGCCTCTCACCACAGGCCCTTTGCACGTGCTCTTCCCTCTGCCTACAACACTGCCCCCTCCCCAACTCTCCCAGCCCCCTCCTTTAGAACAGTACTACTACTCAGCGATTCACTGATTGGTTCTCGTCCATGAATTGTTTCTTCCAGGTTCATGACAAGTACAGAAATTGAGAGAAACATTTAGGAAAATTTTTAGCAATTTGGTATTGCTCGTGCCTCTACGCACACGGTCAGTGGACTCATCTCACTGAACAGGGTTCAGGCCTATTTGGTGATGCTACATTCGAATGAAGTCAGACTCCACGTGGGGAGGAGTTCCATACGAACCATGCACGTGAACACCACATATTGGTTTCAGTGGGTTAGAAATTATAACAAATGAATGAACGAACAATGGGCCCTTCTATGTGGTTTAAGGAGGACAGCCTTGGGCCTCAGCTCACTAGCACGTCCCCGGGAGGCCTCCCTCCGGGGTACGCGCACACAGCACCACCTTTCCTTCGCAGCATTTCCCCCCATGATGCATTGCACGTGTGCGCTTCTCGGGTTACCCATCATTGCCCTCTAAGCTGCATGAGGGCCACACCTGCCCCGTTCGCCATCGCATCGAACACAGCTTGACAGCTGGTAAAATCTGGTGTTTGCATTAACAAGGTCCATCGCTTTCACCAGATTTTCAAGGTGGCCACGTTCACCAAAATGGTTAGGAACCGCTGGAGCAGCAGCTCAACAGTGCGCGTGAAGGGACCACGTGAGAGAGAGAATACGGGCCCCCAGGGCATGAGTGTGGTTTTTTTTTTCAAGAAAGAAAACTGCACAGGTGGTGGCTGGTGAGCAAAAAGGGCGTCTGGGGCGAAGGAGTCCAACCTGTGTCTTTTTTTTTTCCCCCCTTGATTTTTTTCCCTTGATTTTTATTACTGACACTATTACAGATGTCCCCACTCGCCTGCCCGCTTTTGCCCACCTCCACCCAGCCTCTGCTCGCGCTTCCCTCTGGGATCACCACACCGTTGTCTGTGTCCTAGTCAGGGATTTTACTACCCCACTGTCACCCACGGATAGATCATCCAGACCCCCCTCCCAAAAAAATCAATAAGGAAAAAGAGTGACCTTCAACGACACACTAGATCAGATGGATTTAATTGACACTTATAGAACATTCCATCCCAAAGCAGCGGAACAGACGTTCTTTTAAGTGCAAACCTGCGTCTCCTGTCTCGGGGGTCAAGTCCCGTTTTGAAATAGGACCGTGACAATGTACCGTTGGGAATAGGAGAGGCGAATAGGGTGGTCATTTCCATGAGTGAATTTTCCTCAGTTCCAACACAGCCCTCTTCACCCCCAAATTCCACCCTAGTGATCCCAGCGTGTCACCTCCAGGACAGTTCTCCAGTGGAAGTGACACTTCCCTTTTGAGCCACAGGGTTCATGTGACATTTTTGGCTCTGGAGGGGTTCAGAGTGAAAAAACATCTCTAACCCCAGTTCATAAAACCCAGAACTATAACAGTAACCTTAGTGATATCTTCTTTGGTTCCCTTCCAATGTATTTTGGTGAGTTGTAAAAACAGCTGAAATTTTAAGTGGGAAATGAATTTCATTTGTAAAATGTATGCACATTTGTCACCTAATAAGAACAGACCTTCTCCTAAGCACTTTACATATATGGCCTCATCTTTAATCCTAGCGGCAGCCTATGAAACAGGTTATTATCCCCTTTTTAACAGGTGGGTAAACTAGAGAACAAACTTGCCCATAGCTGGTAAGTATGGGAATCAGCTGTCAAAGATACGCTCGATTCAATGGGACAGCTGATTTCCCTCCTCATCTTGCAAACGCCAACTCACAATTCCTTCCAACTGGGCATTATTTGTATTACTGTTTGTGGGATTAGGGAGGGGGAACAGGGCCTTATTTCCTTCAAGCCTACACTTGAAAATAGTTAGAGGGAATTTGTATGATTTCCTTTGCCCCGTTGTGAGCCTCCTCATGATCTTAATGTTTCTGCTCCCTCGGCAGCTGCTTGAACCTAACCCAGACCAGCGGTTTTCTCGCCTCTCTGATGTTCAGAGCTTCCCGTACATGAATGACGTGAACTGGGATGCGGTTTTGCAGAAAAGGCTCATTCCGGGTTTCATTCCCAGTGTAAGTCAACCCTAACCAACTCACAGCAACTCTCAGTCGGTGCATGTCACCTGTGTGCCAGATGCACACCTGGTCTCATTAGCTAGCCACACCCGTGTTGTAAGGCAGCCCAACGTCCTATCTTACAGGTGAGAAAACGAGGCACGCACAGGTAACTTGGCTACCCAGGGGTCACGTGACTAGCAAGTGGCCCATTTAGAATTCTAATCCAGGCCTATCTGTGTCTAGAGTTCTAGCTTCTAACCATTTTATTATTTAAAAAAAAAAAAAAAATCCTCACCCAAGGATATGTTCCCTGACCCTAGAAAGAGAGGGAGACAGAAACATCTATGTGACAAAGAAACACTGATCAGTTGCCTTCCATCCACGCCCCCATGGGGGATCAAACCGGCAACCTAAGTATGTGCTCTGACCAGGGATCGAACCCTCAGCCTTTTGCTGTATAAGAGGACACTCCAGCCAACAGAGAGAACTAGCTGGCCAGGGCCGAACCATTTTTTGCAGCATACTTTTTAAAGACAGAAGCCCTAATCCTCCTATTACATAGTCCTCACTTAATATCAACACTAGGTTCTATGTGACTTTAAGAGAAACGGCATAGTATGAAACCAATTTAACCACTTGGCTGATGGATATAAACAAGAATTAAGTTCCTACGCATCCTCAGTGTTATAATAAAACGAAACCTCAAGGACCTACTGTTGTCCTTTCCTGGAATCTGCTAATTTTTGAAAAAACAATGCTTTCTCTGATCCCAAAGATGTAGGAATTTGTCTCCCTTGGCGTTCTGTGAGTCAAAGGATTGAAAACGGTTTCAGGTGGGGTGAGGCACTTCTTTTTGCCATCCGTCCCTCTTACATTCGCAATGACTGAGGCCCCAAGGGAAGCGGCTCCTACTGGATGAGGCCCTGGCCCGGGGACGTCTGTGGTCTCCTGCGGCCGCCGGTAAACCCAGCATGCGGGGCACAGCGCACAGCGAGCCAGCGGGTGCTGGGGTTCCACTGTGGAGAAGCTCCACCGCGCGGAGCGACCGGAGGGGGAGCCCAGGACTTACCTGGCTACTTGGCAGGGCCCGGTAGGGGCAGTTGGACCAGGTGACCGCGTGACGCTGTGGGGAGCTGGTCGGCACCTCCCGCGGCTTCCAGCGCCGGCACCGCAGCCAACCATGCGCTGCTCCGAGAGGAGGCGCGCGGCGGCTGACTGCGTCGCAAAGCGGCATCACCTGGAGAGCGTGTTGCACGTGCAGCGTCTGGGGCCTCGCGTTCAGAATCGCTGATTCGGGGAGGCTGGTCGGGGAGCCAGGAAGCTGAGCAAACAACTCGAGGGATGCTGACACTCTATGTGATCGATAGAATCTAAGTAGAGCCCCAGAGCCCCAAAGCTCAAACGTTAGAAAAATAATTGTCATTTGATTTCCTGTTAACGCACGGAAGGCTCGTTGGGAGTTGGGAAAAATAAACAAAATGTGAAACTCGCGGATGTGGGAAACAGGGCCGGCAGTGCGTTATCCAGAGCCCCGAGGGTGGGGGGCGCTCCCAGCTTGTCGTCCTGGGGCAGCTGCTCCGTCGGCCTGCGCGGTTTTCCAAGGGGTGACCCAACCTGTCGTCCTTGCAGAAAGGCAGGCTGAACTGCGACCCCACCTTTGAACTTGAAGAAATGATTTTGGAGTCCAAGCCTCTTCACAAGAAAAAGAAGCGGCTGGCCAAGAAGGAGAAGGAGATGAGGAAATGTGAGCCCTCTCAGGTGAGCAGGCGTGACGGCGATTCCTGGGGGGCTTCTGGTGGAGGCCCACTGGGCGCCGGCTTTTCCGGCCGCGGGAGCGCGCGAAGGGGCCGCACTGCTCAGCCGCCCGGGGCATCTGAGCAGCGACGCTTCAGGGTGGGCCTTCCAGCTCTGCGTGAACTTGATTCCGTTATTGCCTCCTCCCAGCTCTCCATTCAAAATTGCCAGTTTCCTGGGACAGACTCTAATTGGCCAAGTCTGGGCCAGGGGACTGCTCCTAAACCAATGGTCAGTAGGCATGTTCCAAACTATAAGCATACACCTCCGTTTCACGGCCCTTTGCTTTGATGTTGTGTGTTTTGCAAACTGAAGGCAAAACCCTTCACCAGCAAAAAAAAATAATAAAAAAATAAAAAAAATTACAACGTGATTTCTTGTGGTGACCTGGAACCAAGCCCACAGTACCTGCCAGGTCTGCCTGGACACACGTGGCTGCTTGGGGCCTCACTCTCGCTGGGAGCAGCGGCCCCAGAGGTGGTGTCTGTTCTTTGCTACAAGCAACATTTCATGGCACCGCGGCTAGCAGAAGTAGAGAACAGAAATGATGGAATTTTTATATGATCTAATTTTGGATTTTAGGCTGTTAATTTTGTAATGGTATTTTGTCAGAGTTAGAGCTCAGATCTCAACACAGTAACTTAGAGGGACTCAGTAGGATTTTATACATGTGATTCTATGTATTATAATAATGACGAAGTAATAAGCATTCACTTTTAGAGGCAACACTTGTCTCTAACGCTCACTCATCCATCCATCCATCCATTTATCTATCCATTCATTCATCCACCTACCCACTCAACTAACAGTCATCCATCCCTCCATCCATCCATTTATTTAGGCTACTTTTATCAAGGACTTTTATGTGCCAGTTCCTATGCTAAGTGTCAGGAATAGTTATGAATATTATTCCTGCATTAGATGCCATTCCTCTTCTCAAAGATTGTCTAGTCTTGTGGTGAAGATAACTCTGCAAACAAAAAAGAATGCACCATGTCCTTCATTCCTCTACTCCTCGGGAACCAATATACCCATTGATATTCAACCAAAGTCCCCGTCCTGTTTGTCTACAGGCTGGCCTCTCGCCAGATTCCCAGCCTTAACTGTTTCAGGGGACCCTGCAAAGAAGGTTTAGCTGTGCCACAAACCCACCTTGCTTGTTTCTTTTCACTTCAGCCACCTCCTTCCTCATGATCTGTTCTTCATCTCATCACCAGCTGGCTTCTCCAGACTTGCCCCTCTCTATGTCCGTGCATGGTGTGCCTCAAACTGGATAGAGGCCCCCAAAGGTAGCAAAAACAGACTCTCATTTTTATTACACGTTTTCTAAACTTTTAGAGGAAGCAACAACGTGCAAACCCCAGGTCACCATGCCTCTGGGCTCTCCACGATCTGTCTGCTTTCTTGCCCCATCCTTGTACTCGGCCGTCTTCGCCCTCCAACCACCTAGGCCTTGCCAGCATCTGACCCTCAAGCACTAGAGGTTTTGTTTTCCTTGGGGCCTCTCGCTCTTCCTTTTTCCTGAATGTTCCTTGGATCTTCTCATAGGTGGCTTTGTCTCGTCCTTTCCACCATCTAACGCCATCTTGTCAAAACTGAAGTCCCATCACCATCACTCTCTCAGCCCCTGTTTTTCCTTCCTTCATGACATTAAACATAGTTTAGAAATATTGTGTGTGTGTGTGTGTGTGTGTGTGTTTCTCCTCTCTCACTAAGTTGAAGGCTCCCTTTGCATGAAGTCCGGCTCCGTCTCACCCACCATGGTCATCCTGGCCCCCCACCTCCCTAAGTGGTTCAGTACATTAAAGGAAGGAAAGAAAACTTTGTAACTGGACAGTGGAAGCTGGACTCTGCTGTTCCTAGAGTTACAGGTCAAGTTCCACCCTGGGACTCCTCCCGTAGTCTCTCTTGCCCTAGTCCCCACCTGCTCTCAGCTGCCAGGCTGCGGCAGCGAGTCTCCCGGCCCTGCTGGGAGGGGCCAGGAGCACGTGGCCACAGTGCAGAGCCCGGCATCGTCGAACACAAACGGAAGAGCCTCGCAGTTTCCTCTGTCTCCCTGGTCTCATGCCAGCCTTCGAATCATCTACCAAGAACTGGCTTTTCCCATGATAAAAAGACCTTGACATCACTGAGCAGAGAACTTTACATTTTCTTGATCTTTGTATTTAACATTTTTATTCTGGTAAACTGTGTATAACATACAGTTTGCCTTTGAAGCGTGCGATTGCGTGGGGTTAAGTGCGCTCAGCGCCGTGCAGCCGCCGCTGCCACCAAGGAGTTTCACGTCCTTCCCTTGCGTGGAGCCTCCTCCTTTTTTCCTACAGTTTTTCAGCAACGCTTTTTACTTTCAGAGAGCAACTTTTTCACCTCCTCGGTTAAACTTTTCCTAGGAATTTTATTCTTTTGAATACCATGGAAACGAAATGGTTTCCTTAATTTCCTTTGAGATCATTAATTACTGGCATATAGAAACAACTGATTTTTCTGTATTGATTTTGTACAAGGACGCTTTGCTGGACTCATTTATGAGCTCCAGTAGTTTCTTGTGGGTTCTTGGTTTTTTATTTTATTTTATTTTTTATAGGACCATGTCATCTGCAAATGGAGAGCGTTTTACTTTTGCCTTTCCACTTCAGATGCCTTTATTTCTTGTTCTGGCCTATTCAGTCTGGCTAGGGTTCCAGTCCAGCGCTGAACAGCAATAGTGAAAGTGGCCACCTTTGTCTCTCTTCCCACCTCAGGGAGAAATATTTTAGTTTGCACCATTGAGTATTATGTAAGCTCTGGGTTACTGTAAATGCCTTTTATCATGTTCAATTTTATATAACATTTTATATATGTACATATGTCTATATAAATGTTTTGTTTATTTAATATATACACACATGTATATATAAATACATACACATATAATATGTACATAATATATGAACATATGTATATAAAATAAAATATATAAACAAAATATTATATGACTATCTTAACATACTATATAATATTTTGTTTATATATTTATACTTTTATATAATATTTTAGTGTTAAAAAGAGTTTCCCTAAAATCTTGGAGCAAAGCGGCTGCTCCAAGGAGCTTTGTCAGATCATGTTGCGTGCATAGCTTCCGGTCCCCCATGATACCGGAAACCCTCAGGGTTACAAGTACCCTCCGTTTGAGGCTAAGAATGAGGAATAGTGGGGTCTTTTCTCTCCTTTGTTTTGCGTCCTTCCCCACTGCTCTGAAATGTCCTTTTCATGGTTTCCTCTCTTAGCCCTTAACCTCAGGGAAAGAAGAAAACTCTCCACTATTCAGGGATGTAGTATTTTCTAATTCCTAGATTAAAGAAAGTGAATGAATCATTTTTCCTTAGAGAAGAATGTTTTTCACCTGAAGTGGTTTGGAAGTACTGCGTTGCAGACTTTTGAAGCCTTGGATCTGGGGCAGACACTGTCCTGGGCCCAATGAGTATCATTTTTTTGAGGTTAAATTTTCTCATGATGGCAAAGCCATTGATAGGTGTTGAAAACCAGACAGTGAGCAGGCAGGGAGCAGACACAGGCGGGTCTGTGAGCAAGTCACAAATAAAGGCAGCCCTGTTCCTGGCCCCAAAGTGCAGTTCATCAACCCCAGCGCGGTTGTGGAGGGGAACATTCCATAAGAACTCAGTGCGAAGAGGTGTTTTCAGGCTCTTGGTTAAATTCAAGTAGAACCTCCAAACCTTTCACGTGAGCTCCAGGAGATGAGAGGCAAAGTAACCAGCTCGGTAAACCCTTGTCCCCACCTGCCTGGAAGCCATGGTGTCTTCCCAGGCTGAGGGGCTGAAAGACATTGAGCTCACAAACCATAACCAAGCCTTCCTGTGGGGAGCCAAGCGCTGATGTGTTTTATTCTCGTGCTGTTTCTCTCCTATCTCCTCCCCTGTTATTCTGGTGGTATGTCATTCCTGCTACAAACTCTGAGATAGCATCTGTTTTGAAGATGCATCCTTCAGTTTGGGCCATTCAGTGTTCAGATGCTTAATAGGTTATTGACTGAGGATCCTCATCCATCTGCTAACTATAACTGTTTTTTTCCCCAACGTTCACCTGGAAGACGTGCCTTCTTCAAAAGCACCTTGAATCTGTACAAAAGGAGTTCATCATTTTCAATAGAGAAAAGTAAGTAGCTTCTCAAAGAACAGCAGCCCAGCAAATGTTTCTGCTAGACTTTAATTGCAAAGGCTTAATATATTTTTAACATTTCCTTATTCTATCTGATTACAAATATGATGCCTGTCCATGATAAAACATTTGGAAATTTCAGAAACTTTTTCTTGTAAGAGGTTGAAAAAGCTTATACTAGGTAAATGAGCTCCAAGTTTCTGTTTGTGGGAAGGGCAGAGAAATTGGGACTTACACATTTAAAATTGAGGGTGTTTTTAAGGTTTCTCTGACTTTTTTTATAAATTGTTGGACGTGACACTATCGCTTCAAAAGCATAAATCTCTTTCTTTTTTTCTTTTTAAGAGTAAAAAAGGACTTTAATAAAAAACAAGCAAATCTAGCCTTGGAACAAACCAAAGACTCACAAGAAGGGAATGGTCAGAACAGCAGCCTGTGACATTGTTAGCACCTTCTTATTGGGACATTTCCTGGCCTCTGGGGCCGGTGGGTTCTGACTTGCGCAGCAGGACGAGCAGACTCCTCTCTGTGGACGTCCCACACCTGAGAAACTGTGAACACCCACCTTTGGAAGGAGGCAGCATGATAGAGCAACAATTTCCCTGGGCTCCTGGGAACTAGTTGCACCATTAACGAACCGTGTGACCTTGAGCAAGTCACTTAACCACTTTCTCTGCTTTGGTTTATTCTTCTAAAATGAGGCGTTACACTAGATGGGCTCTACTCTGCCTTTTTGTTGCAACCACTCTGCTATCCTAAACAGCCTTTATTTTTATTGCAAAAGGAATATTTGGGTGTAGATTTATTTTTCCATGCCTTCCAATTACACTGTGCTAGGTGGTCAAATAGACACGGGTGGGTGACTGAGGTGTTTGGGGCCCGATTGAATAGGAGTAAGAAATTCAGTCAAGAAGACATGAACAGGAGCAGATTAAAGTGACATAGATAACTCAGGCCTTCCACTGACACACCACATCAGCTTGTCGCAGCTCACATCTGTCCCTGTGCCCTGTACAGTGATGCGAAGCTGGGAAGTGGAAATTAGTGATGATGCCGCATTTATACCATGGAAATTGGCAAACGCTACAGATCAGGGCTTTCCCTCGCACACCTGGCAAGCCCTCTGTTAAATATTTGGTAGCACACCACTTGCTTGCTTCTAGCCACCACGTTCCTTGAGAGCTACTTGTCGTCTTAAGATTATCAGAGACCTGCATCTGGAGAGAATCAGGAAAGACTTTTGTCACATTGAAAGCATGTCCACCTTGTAGTACACTGATGTGTCTGACACAGGAGTCATAGGCTAAGTTAAAATGTGAGGCGAATTCGGACGAGAGTAAACTTTACCCTTGAAAATTCCCTGAAATTCCCCATAATGTCTGGTGGGTATTTTGTCTTAATGAAGCCCAGGACAATGAGTCCCCGCCTCCCCAGTGAAACAAGTCATTGTTTTTGGTTCATTTTGATGGTGTTTTTTACTTTTATTTTTTCGCTGATATGAGATGAAACAAAATGTTGAGCAACTCATATGCCTGTATAGAGTAGAATTCACACGTCTGAGAGGTTCGAGTCACTGAACAAAGGGAACAGTGGTGTCATGTCTCCCTGCCTTGTGCTTACTGCGAGAATGGCAGGCAGAAATGACCTAATTACTTAAAATATGATGGATGTCTCACCGTTTTTGTTTATTTTTTATTTAGTTGGAAAATGCCAAGCTTAATTCACCTAAGTGAGGTGTGTGTGTGACGTGGTTCCGCTCTCCTCAAGATCTTTGCAGGCAGAGGAACTATTTGGGGGCACCGACGGGGGCCCCTGGGTGGAGAGTCAAGAAGTGACTAGTCTTGATGGGGGCTGGTTTAACCTCTCGGCAGCTCGGATCACCTAAACCTTGACCTTCCCAAGGGCGAGTGCTGGCCTCACCAAGATGGCGGTAAGCTGGCAACAGGAGAGACCAGACTGGCCTGTTTGGGAAACCAGACGGAGGGGCCTAGGCAGGGATAACGGATGCGGGCCCCCCGCTACACTAGACTCTGCCAGGAGGGCGTTTGCAGGAGGGCATCTTGGCATGGGTGGAGGCCATGCCAAGTTTTAATTCGGCGTTGGCAGCAGTCTCCTCGCTAAGCTAATAGGCCCGGAATTTCTGGCAGCGCTGTGAAAGCGTCTACTGACTTTGGAGAGCAAACATATTTTTGTTAAGAATTAAAGCCAGCTCCTTTGTTCTGTTTTATTCCTTTTCTCTACTTTCTCCACACATTGCCTGTGCTAGTTTGTTATTTCTCCAAACATTGTAAGTTCTAAATGCTTGCCCTGACTCAATTTGACGAAGAGGGGATGGGTTGACAAGATGACCAGATTCGGCACCAGAGTGCCAGGGGCCACTTGCATGTTTACCAACTTCCATCATTCATTCTGTCTTGATTCAAGCCCTGATGTGCTGTGGACTTGTCTCCCGAGTCACTGGTTCCTCTTCTTGCAGCGGGATTGGTAGGGTCTCCATGGGGGAACTAATCATTTGTACCATTTCACCTCTATACACTTTATAATGGGATAGGAACCCAAGGCAATCGTGTGGTTTGAATCCCTAGTTTTTATTTCCAGTGACTGCCCGTGCCTGGGGGGCTCGTGGGCGTTCAGCACACGTATGGACGCACGGCTCGGGAGCACAGCCTCGGAGGTGACGGGGCTCTCCTGTCCTATGCAGATCACACACCCACAGTGTGTTTTCAGTTTGGGGAGGGGAAGCTTTGCATCCATCACTGGAGAACAACTCATTATAAACACCCTCCACCACTCTGTATTTTAAACATTTAGACAAGTTTTCTGAGAAGTAAAACTATAACTCAATCCTTACCATAATTGCTACTTACTGAAATCAGATCCTCTGCTTCCCCCCTCGCCCCCCGATAACTTGGGCTAAAAGTTACCATCCTACCAGGTGGAACATGTCTCATCTAGATTTAAACAATGGAGGCTCAGGGCTAAGAATTTTAGAAAACAGTGCGATCATTGCATTTTTCTCTCTGGTATCCCTGGAATCCTTTCCTCCTGACAGCTTCCTCCCTTATCTGTGTGGAGCATCTAAAAAGCCTGGGCAGGTTTTGAAGACCAGAAGCCTCCTGGTTATAACACTCAGCGCTGCAGCTGGCCACCCACGCTGGTGCATTCACAGTGACCTCTAGTGGATGAGCGGGGCCGCGGAGCCCAGTGACACGCCGCCGCCCTAACTCTGGAAGAAAAAGCTCTGCTAATGGCAAACACACATCAGTGGCAGCACGGGTCTGGGCTGAGGCCATTGCTGTGGCAGGAATGAACAGCAAGCAGCACAGAGCCTTGCTAAATTAATTAGGATAATTAATTAGTGGATAGGCTTCTTCTGATGGGACAGTTTTAACTAAAAATGACTAGACTTTAGATATCGTAGGTTGTCTAGATGGAAAGGATGAATAAATAACTGGAGAAAGAGCAGCATGTAACCCAGCCAGCAGAGCCAGCGTGGCCCTTTGGGCTGGCGCAGGACCGCCGAGGCTTCGGTTCTTCTGAAGCCGAACAAAAAGGCATGAAAAGCACAGCGGGCTTGTTTCAGTACCCAGTTGTCCTTGCATTATGTCTACACAAAACCCTGCTTCCTACTCTGTCTGCCTGCGATTACTGCTGCTTAGGAGCTCAGTGTGTCTGACAGTAAATATTGATGTTAAACCTCCAAACTTGTTATCTGTGCTGTTGTCAACAGGCGGCCCTTGGATGGGAAACACGGTCTGTTCAGCGGCAACATCTATAATGTCAATGTGCCTGTGTATTAAACTGTCATCTGTACACAGTAAGACACTGGCCTTTCTTTTGGGGGGGCGAGTGTGTGTGTGATGGTTTTCTCTAGAGGACAGGCTGTGATGCCCAGAGTCACCCGTCCTTCCATTTCCTACTACGAGGAATGTCCTTTACCACACAAGCGGGTGACAGATGGTATTCTATAAACTATGGGATGCAGCACAATTTAATCCCCAGGTATAAAAACTAAAAACCTGACCTAACACTTACACCTTATGGCACAGAACCCAGGAGTCCAGGTTTCGTCTTTTGCCACGACTGTAGGTCCCCGGACCACCTGTGCACCTTTTCCCAGCCCTCTGCCTTCCTACCCCTCCATGTCTTTCCTTCTGCTGCACTCCACCCACCAAAGCAGCAGGTGGATGTTCCAAGGCCCATCTTCTGGGACAGGAAGGAGACAGCAGCTGTGAACTCCTGCAGCTCAAAGCAGCTTCTGCCTCAGGGGAGAAAAAAGGGAACTTCAGACCCATGACAGCTCAGTAGCCAGGCCAGCTGGTTCCCTGGACTTGTCCCGAAGTAAAGAGGCCTCTGTAAGTCCTGTGGCCTCTGAAGTCCTGCGTGCTGGGTGCCCTGTTGCCCAGGTCATGTTAAGTCACCTGTCATGTTCTCAGCAGCCACTTGAGCGCAGGACAGGATCTAGACCTCTTCCGATTCTGAAGAGTGCCAGCTTAAGTGATGTCATTTTTGCAGGTTGCTTTGGCCCTTTCATCCCCCACTTCCTCATCATGGTTAGTATTCCCTTTGGGATGGCTTGATGGCAGCACAGCTGATTCCAGAAAGTTCTTTGAAACCAGAGGGATCCTGTTATCCCTGCTCAGCGTTCCCATTCCCCACCTGGTCAATGTGACTCAGCCCAGATAGACCTCCAGCCCACAGACATTGTGAAAGTCAGTGCACACATTTTTTAAAAAAACTGCTCCGTCCCTTTGAGAGCTCTGCGTCCTGAGTTCACGTTAGGCCTTGACCATGACATTTAAACCCATGCTCATCCTCAACAGAGTTCAGTTGCTACCTTGGTCATGAGCCATTGGTCTTTTCTCCATTTCTGAGTTTGAGCCAGAAAATGGAACTAGGAGCCAAAGCTTGTTAATCATCAGATCTTGAACCTCACGCTGAAATAGTTCTTTATGTGCTCAGAGTAGCTTATATTATGGTTTCTGAGCTGCGCCGAAAGGCATCATTGCCCTGTGCTCCTGGCCCGATGGCATCAGTCTACCGAACAAGAGGGCTTCATCACACCTGAAAGCAATTCATCAGAAATTACCGCCCCAGCCCTGACCGCCTGGCTCAGTTGGTTGGGTGTTGTCCCACAAAGTGAAAGATCGCCGCCAGTTCCATCCCCAGTCAGAGCACATGCATGCGGATTCAGTCCCCAGAAAGGGTGGGTAAAAGGCAATAGATGAATATTTCTTCCCCCCTCTTTCTCCCTCTCTTCAAAAATAAGTAAATAAAAGCTTAAAAAAAAAAGAAGAAGAAGAAATTACCACTCCACCCCTTCTCTACCTGCCCCCACCTAAACAGGAATACAGAGCCAAAGCATTTGCGCCCTACAGGCTAGAGGACTGTGGTGGGCCATCTGCTGTTCTGGCCTGCCCAGCAGCCATTCCCTCTTCTGGTATCACTAATTTTCTTTGAGTTAGTGAGAGTCCACATGGTTCAGGGGGCTCAGGGGCGGGGCATGTGCCCAGGTGTAGCCAATCAGTCCCACAGTCTACCAGCCACAGTGACTACGCCGCTCCTGAAAACACGTGACCGGAACTGGACCAATCAGAGCCCCTCTCTTTGGCTGGCCCTATTGAGGGAGCCTCTCTCCTTCCCCTGAAATTACTAAGCAGGTAAACGGAAAACCAGGAGATGCTGATGGTAGTGTTGTCCCCACATGCAAAGAGCTTCCTTAAGAACGGAGCACCTGCTGAAGGCAAGCAGGACGAAGAGATGAAAAGACTTGTGGCAGCACAGAGGCTAAAATTGGAACACTACAGAGAAGGTTAGCATGGCCTCTGTGCCAGGATGACATGCAAATTCGTGAAGCGTTCCAGATTTTTAAAAAAGAAAAGAACAACATTCTAGATCCAGCTTTGCTCAAATGTACCCAAATCCACCCCTGACGTTTTCAGTTATCCTTCCAAAAAAACTTTTTTCACATACCCGAGCCTAACATTTGCCATGAAAAGTGTCCTCCATAAATTGTAATTAGACCCAGAAGTGTTTCTCTGAAAGTGTTTAGTATAACGAGGCTGGCGGAATGTTAGAAGATAAGTAGTTAAATAGTTTGAGAACCTTGAGTTGGACAAATTTTGAAAGATAGGATTTTCTCAGAGCTTTGATGATACACGCACATTAAATCTCTGAGAGGAGGAGACAGAGCAAAGAATCATTTCCAACACCCACGGGATGCCTTGGGTCCAGTTTGCTAAACAATATACAATTCTTTGAAACATGCTCAGTTGGAGTTTTCTCAAAGTCCAGGTTTTTATGAAGAAGCAATGTTTTAAATGGAGGAAAAATACAAAAAACAAACCAACCAAACCTTTCAGGATCTGTTCTGGACTCAGATTTACCACACAAGGCAACGCCTTTTACACTAATATTAAATTTGATGATCTATAGGGGAAAAAAAACAAAACACTTTAGTCATTCCCCAAAGTTTCAATAGTGATCCTCAAACTCTGTAGCTGAACAAAATCTCAAGCTCAACTGAAAAGATAGGAACTCCCCCAAATTTTCTCCAGATATGTTTTCATCAGATCTGCCCCCCTTGCTAACCATTTCAGTTTTATTGACCAATTTTAATACGTTAGGTAAAAATGGCATGTCACACACAGAAAAAGACTGCACGACATTTGTGATTTTATAGTTATTTTAATAACCAGGTTTACATTAACAGTCACGTGATGAACTTTTTTTTTTTTTTTTAAATCTCAGCTAAACTCAAAACACAGTTTTCTTCACGGTTCAAAGCAAACAGCTCGTCACATTCCAGAGCTGCCTCACAGCTACCACAGATCACAGGAGAGTTACTGTCTGTCCATAGTCACCAGACACGGAACTGAACACCCACACACCGTTTTCTGAAGAGGGAACTTACAATGAAAGCTGAGGCTGCCTGCGACAGCCCGTGTGTATCCGGGACTCCAGCTGGACATTTCCAGGGGAGAGGGCCTGGGACGCGGGTGGGATTCGTCGCCCTGCTGCGAAGGGCTTCTCAAGCAAGTGGAATTCCAGGGTTAGAATTGAGGTCTTCGGAGCAGAGTGTGACTCCCTGGTTGGAGTCACGAAGGAAAGGGCCAAAGGATGATGGACTAGACTTTGAAGGAAACTTATTTTCGGGATGATGACCATCCTTCCATTTTTAGAAAACTTAGAAGTATTTCTGGTGGGGTGATGATTTAACAGTTCCACAAATGCCTTCTCAACTACCCAAACTGGGGTCCTCCCAGAGAGAACCCTAGCTGATTGCCATCTGGGTTTGGGGACAATGTGAGCAGGTTGGGGGTAGGGCAGGAGGAAGGGTGTCCTTAGAGAGGGGCCAGGCTAAGACATGAGACAGCAGGAGAAAGCTCTGGAGGAAGACAGAAGATCCAGCAAGGGCCCCCAAACCCCCACCCGAAACTGGACGAGGTGCTGGTGAATTTGGAGAGGGCCAACTCACCGTCCTGATCTCTTCTTAAACCCTGTGTGTAGGGCTCTTTGATGTGTCTCAGGGAACAAGACAAATTTGAAAATAAATTTTAACTTAAGTAACAAGGTACCAGAAGTCAGAGTTAATAAAATAGTGGGAGAGCTCTTGGAATTCTCAGGAATTTCTATGCTTGGAAAGTTACTAATAGTGAAGAAAGTAAGGCCTTCCTCAGATCACGTTGCCCAGCAGCAAGACATGAAAGGGCTGTTCCTACTGCATGGAACTTGTGTAGAATTATATAAAGTTCTGGTTGAATGTTGCATTCAGAAGTCCCAAGTGCAACCAATTGGGCCATGAGGTCATGAAGGGATGGGATGAACTCAGGGGCTGGTAGCGGCAGCAGAAGGTACCAGAGTTATCTACTTGTCTTTTCCTCCACCTGGTGGTTGTGGCTGGTACTGCAACATATCCTAAATCCCAGCCCAGCCAATGAGGTATATAGAATATTTGCTTCTGCTATGGCAAGATCCCTGCCTGCATAACTGTCACTCCGCGTTTGGAATAGGCTCCCACATCTCTGAGTTATAAGCCAAGAGATACATCCCCACCTTCACGTCAGTTTCCGTAAAATAAAAGTACCATGAAAAAGCCTTAAAGGTAGCAAGATTCCTTCTTTGGAGGGGAAATCATCTTTTTCATGATTAGAACGTAACTTAGCTCTGCTAGGGGAAATCCTCCTGCTTGGCTATTTCCAAATGCCTCTCCAGCCCTGTATCCTCTTTTCTGGCTTTCAGCTTAAAATCTGCAGTGTGAGATAATGGTTTCTCCTAAGCACCTGAAAGGTATTGGAGACCGACTTTTCTCTTCAAAGTACTTAACACACAACGTTATGAGTTCTACCAGCTGGATCCTCCAGCGCGGAGGTCTGATACCAGGTTAAAGACATTTTTTCCCCCTTGCATATGGGCCTCTTAGTGCTACAGATCTTTGTCTGGCTCATGGAACTTTTTCCAAAATTGAGTTTTAAAGGGGGGCAGGCCAGGGAATGGACATTCAGCTCTGACAGACAGGGTAGGTGGGCACAGACACTCTATACTTCATTTCATGTGCCTATCAGGACAGCCACATGTCATTGCCACCTACCTTGGGAGATTTGGGTACCAAAACAAAAGCTCCCCCAAATGGAATGTGCTAATGGAAAGGGAACAGATGATTTAGGATTGAAAACTAGAACCACGGCGATGGAATGCACTCTCTGTGCTCCAGACTGGCTTTCCCAAACCCCGGCTAGACTCCCACGGAAGCTGAGTGCCCTATTAGTATGAAAAATTAAGGAACGCCTAAGAAAGGCAATTTTCAACAATAACAACAAAAGTCCTATTCAATCATGGCTCTGCCTGGATCTCAGGAGATCAAGAGAATCAAACACTCACCACTGGCAGCAAGACAAGCCCTTTCCTCAAGATGGCAGAGGCCAGCTGTCCCTCTCGGTTTGCGAAGACCAGAGCGTGAGGTGAGCTCCAGCTGTGTTTGGAGGGAGGCGCTATTCACGCGTGGCTGCCCCACCCCCAGGGCCTGTGCTGTGCCCCCAGCTGCTGCCTCTAAAGAGCATCGAAGACGCGCGCAGGGCAGCCGGGAGAAGTGTCTGCTCCCTCCTCACCCCTCCCAGACAGGAAAAGAGGAGAATTTGAAAGCAACGCTGGGAAAAAGGCCCGCCAAACACGGGCACGACCAAGTAGAAGCAATGGTTGGGTTTTGGTGTTTTAATAAAATGCTCAGAGAAATAAAATCGACTAAGAGAGGACGTGACAAAGTCCGGAACCTGAAGCCCTCCTGCCTGCTTTCTCTGCGGACCCCAGGGGACCGTGGTGAAATGATGGCGACCCCCAGGGGCCACCGTCCATGGTAATAAATGTACTTCTTTAACACAATACACAAGACCCCTTGTGCTCACCCACCCACCCCCCGCCCCCGCACACACCCTACCCCAGCCCCCTGAGCCCTCTGCCTTGCTCTGGGCTCCCACCACCCACTCACCCCAATAACTGTGTCCCTTCTGCTCATTTTCCTTGACATCCAGCTTTGTGTGTCCCCTTGTCTTAAGATGCAGCACTACACACGCTCTCAACACTATATAGCAGACTCTTTACCTTAGTGGCCTGTCTGATTGCATGCATGGAAATGGGGGAGGCTAGGCATAAACAGAAAACAAAGCAATATTCGTAAAGCTAGGCAAGCGAGCGTAACATTGGAGAAACATAAGGCTTGAGGCTTATTGATTCTTTAGATCGTAACTGTTTGGATTCGCTTTCCTTCTTAAATATCGGTGTACCATTTTGGCTTCAAAAAATCTCTTCTTGCTTCTGCCCCTCTCTTTGGGGAGGGGTTGCTTAACTCAGGGATGTGATGTTAGAACGGCCTCCAGGGGGCGCCACGATGCGTTTGCTGGCTGAGCGGACCCCTTCGTCCACTTGGGTGCCTGCAATAAATTCCCAGGGAGAAAAAGGGACAAGAGAGAAATCGGATTAAATTTCAAGAGTGTAAGATATTACGTGCCTTCCTGGCTTCTTCTCCCAAGAAACTTCCATTCCAGCTTGTCAAGTATTCCAGACATTTCATACCCTCCCTCGGCCAGGAAAAGCCAGGTTCCTATCTAGATTTCATCAGACCCTCTACATCATAACAAAGATCACAAAAAACAATGGGGATGTTATAAAAATAGCTGCTTCCATTCTCTGGGACAAGCAGTGTTTAAAGTGCCTCCCAGGCTACCTCAGTCAACCCTCCCCACTGTCCTTTCAGGGAGGTACTGTGAGTAACAGAGGAGGAGACTGAGGCTGTGAGGGGCCAGGTGATGTGCCCAAGGTCACAGCTGGGAGTGGTGACGGCCAGGCCCCTGCAGCCACAACCCTCTGTCCTTTCGGAAGGAGCCTCCAAAAGCTTAGAGATTATGGGAGTCAGGGAGCAACAGAAAAGGGCAAAAACATGGACAAAAATTTCCACAAAGAGCATACTGTGACCTCTGGCCATGTCACCTCAACAACTTTAGCCCTTTTCTTTTGCCCCCCCCCCCATTTATGTCCCCTTATCTCTCTTCCTCCCCATTGTCTGGTGGCTCCTAGTCCTCGCCCCTCTTCCGGCCCCCATACTTCCTCTGTATGTATACATCTCTCTCCCTTCTTGCTTCTCTCTTTAAATGCTTCTCTCATATTTAAATTGCTCGTCAGAGAGATGCAAATCTACATTTATTTTATTTTCCCAATTTAAGGCTACTGGTTATGGAGCCATTGGATACCTATTTCCTATTTATAGCAGGTAGCTCTTAAAGAATAGGTAAGATTCACGATAAGGCCACCCTGTGGTCCCTGTTCAATCACCAGTAGCTGTTGTGAGCTTGGAAGAATATGATAAAAATCCTAGGTAGCAATCTGAGCATACAAATAATCTGAGCCCCCTGTTTCACCTGGGTAAACAAACCCAACAGTGCACAGCTCCCACTGACTAATGTAGAAAATCACCATAAATTCACCATGAAAGCCATCTCGCCCCCTCCCCCACCATGTGTGAGCTCTGAGCAGAACTGGTCCTCACTTAAGCCTGATTTTTAACCTGAGTGAGCCTTATCTTGCTTTCTCAGCAGGAGTCCTTTGTGTTCAGCAAACCATTCTTCTTGCCCAGCAAGGGGTTCCCTAAAAGGCAGTCTGGGATAGCTCCCAGCGTCACCTGTTTGCTCGGGAGCCCTGAATCCCTCTCCCCTTCTTTCCTCCCCTTCTCAGTAAGGTCGCCATCAGTTTGTCCGACTCACCCGACAGGCTAAATCCCGACTGGTGCAGGTTCCTCACGGGCGGGTTCGGCCGAGTGGGAGAGCCCCGGGTGGAGCCCGCGGGGGTGCCCCCCTTGGGCGTGGTGGTCAGGTCAAACACTGGCCCATCATACATGCCCCGCGGGACCGCGTGCAGGTCCGCCATCTGCGGCAGAGAAAGCGGGTCACTGTTTATTCCCTTAACAATTAAGGGTCTGTTCTAGGTAGCACAAATATATCACTGGATTAAGTGTGCGTAGGGGGAGCCACAAAAGAATAATACTGTTATTTTAAGGAAAGGAGGAGTGCAAAATAAAGGGGGATGTTATGATAGGGTGCTGATGAAGGAGCAGGTGAAGGTGTCTCTAAAAGGTGAGCTTTGACCTTGAGGCCCCAAGGAGCTTGTAATGGGACCACGGTTGCGGGGGGAGGGGCTGAGGGATGCAGAGGAGAGTGTGGACGGCAGCGTCCCAGCGGGGGACGCTGATGGTGGAAACAAGTGCAAGAGCCATGTGTGTGGCCGGCGCAGAGAGGGTGGGCAGGGGCAGCAGTGTGAGGTCAGGTCGCAAGTGCTGGCAGAGACCAGGTCCCGTAGGGGCTCCGCCCTCAGGCTCCTCAGCACAGGCTCCTCAGAGCCGGCAGGCCTGGCAATGAGCGTCCTGTGGTCTGACCCACTGAGCTCTGGCTGTGGCTGTGAGCTTGTCCTGGGACGGCGGAGCCAGCCCGCGACATCACCCACATGATGTTCTGTGCTAGGCCTGGTGCCAGACTCTGGGGCCTGTGGACCCGTGAGACCCAGTATGTCCCCCAAGGGGGCTCACGGTCTATTAGACAAACACTGCAAGACCACCTGCGGCAGTGGGCATATGGCGCACGCGGTCCACCCGTTTCAGGGCGGACATGGTGCCAGGCGGCGGACAGCTCAGGCTGGGCCCTCATAAGACTCCCAGGCTCTCTGTCACGGAGCTGTCCTCCTCTGCTGGTGGCTCAGGGGCAGGCACAGAGGCCTCGCTCATCAAATTTGCAGCTTAATGACCCAGGCGGGAGGACATTCTCTCTACCCCACAAGAAACCTTGACCAGTACTCCAGGTCCTCGGAGCACCTTTGGGTCCAGCATCTAAGTCACGTTAAGAGTTGACATACAGGAAGTTTGGGTTTCGTTCTCTTCTCTATTAAGCCAGCACTGGAGTGTGGAATTTTACTCCAAACTACTTAACTTGAAAATGATCACTCGTAAAGAGATAAGAATGGTGAAGAGATTTAAAACGTTGTCATAGAATAAATAGTGGGTGGCTACAGGGATACTTAGACTAAAGGAGAGATGGCTTTGGAAACACACAGACTCTCTAAGAGATGGGTTTAGTGTGTTCTGTGCAGGTACGGGGAGTAGAATTGAACGGGCCGGCGGGCTGGCTGGCTTTAGGGAGGTCAATTTCAGCCCAGCAGAAAGAAGTTCACTGTCAGGGGCAGAGATGGCCGGTTGCCCTGTAGGAGGGGGAGCCTCCCTGCATTGCACACAGAGGCTGGATGACCCATTACTGGGACCACTGGCCGTCCAGGAGTGGGAGAGACACGAGGGTACTGAGTTTCGGTGAGTCTCTCTCTAATGGGGCACTGCAGTGCGCACTCGGATTCCTGTCCCCAGCCCCCCCACCTCGCCATTACCATGACTGAATGAGACAGAAGCCCCAGCAGCCCCCACCGCCAGGCTCCGGGCCTTCCCACCTTCCTCCGGGCTTTGATGCGCTTGTACACGTAGTCGGAGAAGGGGCTGCAGGGGATGAAGCGGCCGGCCCCCTGGGTCACGTGCAGGTTGCCGTCTTCCAGCATGATCTTGCCCTGGCAGATGACCACCAGAGGCGCCCCACGCAGCTCCATCCCTTCAAAGATATTGTACTCTGCAGCCTAGAGACAGGGGTGGGGGGGCAAAGCCGTAAGTATGGGCGCCAGAAGGGGAGAAAGAGGAATGGGCTTCCCGTGTGCTTGGGATCCTGCCTTCGGAATCACCAGAACAGACGTGCCAGGTAAGGCAGGAAAAGCTTGAGACGCATCTACCAGGTTCCAGGGGGTGGAGGCCCTGGAACTCCTAGCAAAGAGAAGCACCCAGTCTTTAGTAAAGGTCCCCACAGGGAAGTAAATTCTGTCACTGGTGGCGTCCAAGGAGAAGCGGGTAACCCTCAGGGATGCTGCACTAGGCAGTCTTGTATCGGGAGGGTAGGTAGTGGGTGCCGTGACCCTTAGATGTCTACTCGCTTGAAACTAAATAATGTGATGTGACAAACTGTTTGAGCAAAGGCCACTCCCACAAAAAAGTGGGATAGCTCCCCACCTCCTTTGTTTATTCAACAAACGCAAAGCCATCACCGCAAAGGGGATAAGGACAGGAGCTTGGAGTCAGGTTGTCTGGCTTTGAATTCCAGCTTCATGCCTTTGCTGCCTAAATTATTTAATCCCTCTGAACCTCCATTTGCTTACCTCTAAAATGGGGGTAATGACAGTGCCTGCCCATGGAAGACTGTTAGAGAGATTGAATGAATTGCAAGCACAGTGCCTGAAACATAGGTGCTTAATCCGTATTAACGGTTTTTAGTCACAAGAATTAAGCCCCTGCCTGCCAGGTACTGGGCGTTCATTATCATCCTCCACCTGAAATACCTCATGAGGACGTCATCAGTGCGGGTCTCCCCTGGGGCCCCTTCTTTTTCCTTCCAGGCACAAGGCACCATTGCACTTCCTGCCCTCCTGGAGGAAGCTACGGCCACAGGACTGGCCTTGGCCAATGCTGTGTGACAGGAAGTGACATCCTGAGAAAGTGTTGAGAGACAGTCCACCGTTTGCCATGCCCTGGCCTCTGTGCTCAAAGTCACAGAAGCATGTGCAGCGATGACGTCTCTACCTGCCTCCGGCCCCAAGAGACTATGATAGGCAGGGCCCTTCTGCTCACGCATCCTGGAAAGCGGGAGTGAGAAATAAACTGCTGAGGTCTGGAGTCCCTGACAAGTTGGGATGGTTTGTTATGGGGACCCACCCCTGTCTAACCACCCTGGGGCACGACGTACACATCTCTCCTGACCGAGTTCTTCGCACGCATTCCCCGCCCCCGCGCCCTGCATCCCACGGCTCCAGCCTCACCGACTGGTGGTTCTTGGCAGAGACAATCTTCACGGCGTCCGGGTCCCAGATCACCAGGTCGCTGTCGGAGCCCACAGATATTCTTCCCTTGCGGGGATACAGATTGAAGATCTTTGCAGCATTTGTGCTTGTCACGGCCACAAACTGGTTTTCATCCATTTTCCCTGTGGCCTATGGAAATATTAAAAACAATTTTTTTAATTGTCAATGCACGGCCTCTAAGCTCAGAGCAGGGTGATTGCAAAGGTGCCAAAACACACACAGGGACCTCCGAGGCTGTGAGCTCAGAACCCCACCCAGCAAGCTTCAGAATCGGCTGGGCTGTCACGGTCGTCCAGGCAAAGTGATTGAACGTGTGTCTGAGGAGGGGAGTTACCGCTCCTGAAATATGTGCATTTTTTTCTGGTTAAATGCATACATGTACTTACTCTTACTCTTCTCACTCCTAAAAGGATTATAGAGAATTGACAAGAAAAACAAATGTGATGGTGAGCCCATTTTAAAAATTTGTGTTTGTTGCCCTGGCTGGTATGGCTTGGTGGATTGAGTGCTGGTGTGCAAACCAAAGGGTCATGGGGTCGATTCCCACTCAGGGCATGTGCCTGGGTTGCGGGGCAGATCGTCAGTAGGGAGTGCTTGAGAGGCAACCACACATCGATGTGTCTTTCCCTCTCTTTCCTCCCCCCTTCCCCCCTTTCTAAAGATAAATGAATAAAATCTTTAAAAAAAATAAATAAAATATGTGTTTGTATTTGCATGGGCAGAACACAAATATGGAAGAACATCACCCAAATGATAAGTGGTTATCCCTGGGGTGGGGGATTTATGGGTAATTTCTGTTTCCTTTCATATGTGTGTTTTTCGGTACTTTCCAAGTGTTCTTTAGTGACAGTATCATGTTGGTATTAAAATATTTTTTAACAATTCCTAATTGTGTCAAGATAAACACATATATGTATTTATAAATACATAACTGTAAAAAAATACAAAAACCTAAGTATGTAAGAAAAGAGACAAAAATATTTATCCTTTCCCTCTTCTTAAAACAATAAGCCCAGAGAAGGAAAGAACAATTTATTTTAAAAATCTAGCTTTGAGCTTCCTGGAAGCCAAGGAGAAAAGAGAAATTTGGTGGATTACACTGTGTAGCTAAATGAGGTGTTAGATGATACACATTCTGTTTGGCTCTAAAATGAGTGCCTCTAGGGTTTTTAAAGTAAAACAGAGGGACATGATCAACCTAATAAGTTAATCACTAATTTTATTGAAATCTTTGGGAGAACCTTCATTTGCATGGCTTTTTGAATATTTAATTTTTTTGGACAACTTCTGTGATTTTAACAAGGAAAATAAAACCAGGTCCCTTTGCCAGAAGACACTGATAGACAACCACTTGTGCAGCATGGCCACCCTCCCATGGCCTCGATCCTTACCACCGCCTTGTCCCAGATGACAGACATCCGCTCCTCCACCCCATTGGTACCCTCAGGGATGGCTGTGAAGTTATCCTTCCCGATCGCTTTCTGGGCGGTGCTGAAGGTGCAGTGGGCACTGCCAGAGAGCTGCAGGTCCCCGCTGGCAAAGTAGAAATGCTCCATGAGAATGGGAGAGGTGGCTAGAGGCACCTCGGGGGTCCAGGCTCAAGGGTCTAGTGTCAGCATTCAGAGCGCCATGACTTGAGTTTGGAACCCTCCCTCTACCTCTTGCCAGCTGTGTGAACTTAGGTGAATTTCCCCCGCTCTCTGGGGCTTGGTTACCCCATCTGGAAAATGAGGGGGTGTGATTAGATCATCTCTTGTGTAACAAAATAGAAAGGGCCCAAATGAGTAACGGGACTCATCCGCAGAGGCCAGCAGCAAACGAGTCCTCCTTAATTTTGGTTAAGTGGTCATCATGACCAGCTGTTCAAAATTTGCGCAATACAGGGTCCGGCGGAAGTAAGGGCTGCTTGAGTGTGGTTGGTAGGGTGATAATATGGGTGTAATAATTTATGGTTTTCATTTGAACATTTCACCTAAAATGGCATATAATGTGTTTGAGTGTGATATTGTTATGTTACAGAATCACATGCTTATGGTTTTGTAATAAAAAAAGGAGGCATTATTTGTGCTGGACTCTGTACTTAAGTATCTCTGGCCCTCAGCTGCTTAATCTGTACAATGGTTATGAAAGTCCCTCACTCATCCAGTTGTTGGGAGGAACAATGAGATCACGTATGTAGCCTCTCCCTGGTGCTTGGCACACCATCCGTATTACCTGCTACTACCTTTATTAATATGATCACTGTGCTAGTCTTACTAATGACTGCGGTCTGTGCTCCAGGTTGTAGGGGGCTTCTCAGTGTCTTTCCTCCCTGCAGACCCGAGTCTAGCTGGTGGGGGGCTGCTCTAATCCTCGTCCCACGGGTCCCAACCTGTTCCCACACGGTGCCCGAGGCTCGCCATTCTGCACCGACCTGGCCAGCAAGGAGTTGATGTAGTCAGGAGTGGTCGGGTCGGGACTCAGAGGTGGGGATGTCACAAAGGCGGCCGCCTTGGCCCAGTTCTTGCTCCAGTAATGGGTCCCATCTGTGCCGAGGCTGGCAGTGATGGGCTCACCAAAGACCACATTTCCTGCGAGGGGAAGGAAACAGGCAGGGTTGCATGAAGTGCTGCTGCCCTGGGCCCCGCGAAGATAACCGCAGCCCCTTAGCCCACTGGAGGCTGCGTCTCTGGAAGCAGACAGGCCTGGGTTCGAGCCCAGGTTCCCACTGTTTCCAAGCCTCTGCTTTGCTGGCTGCTAAATGAAAAAAGAAATTTGTATTCCTCAGATCACAAGAAGCCATTGCTTGCAAGAGACAGTATTACTTCTTAAATTCTGAGGGAAATTAAAATTTGAGTCAGAAGAAACAATATATACACGCGGATTCTAAGATTCGCCCTCCTTTCAGAAATGTTTTACTGTGGAATGGATCTGTCCTGGAATCAGTGAAACGCACCAGGCCTGTGAATTGAAAGACCCGGCACGCACCGTGTCTGGCACAAAGGCAGTGCCCAGTAAATCTGATTTCTTTATCCCTCCTCCTCCTTCCCACTGGGGGGCTCCAAAGCCCCAGGCATGCCCACACCACGGGAAACTGCTAGATCCTGCTGTTCCAAGGACACGCTTTGGTCCACAAAGCCAAACCCACTGCCGTGGATGAAAGGCTCTCCTGTTCTTTCCCATTGCGTTTGTCACTCCTTCAGGACACCCAGTAACCTGGGGCACATCAGAGATGACGCTGGCTTCTCGGACCCTATGTCTTGCATTAGGGACTTAAATGCCCAAATCAAGGAGAGGAAAGATACTGGGAAATACACTGATCTAAGCTTCTGTCGGGCATCTTCAAGGAGAAGGGATGGTGAGTCAGAAGGCAAATGCGACCTCATAGAAGGTGAGTTTGGTACCAAGATTCTCTGTGCCAGAGTCCTGGACTAGAGATGCCCTGTATTGCCCTGGGCTTCTTTAGCTTCAGCCTTCCATCTTCCATAGTGAAGTTCCCCCCCAGATCCAAGTTTAGGAAGGCTCTATGACCAGGATTATAAGTAGGTTTTGCCTTGCACCAACTGCTATTGTCTGGTTTTCTTTGCCTGAAATTTTGCATAGGGAAGAATTCTAATCATGCTTCCGGCTTCACTAGAAAAGACTCATGATGGATTTGCGATGTCTGCCATGGGTGAAGGAAGGAAGCAAGCAATGGCAACGATTCATGCATGTCACCCCTGCTCTTGGGAATGACAGTAAAAAAGGGTCCACACCTGACCGATGAGAATGTTCAAGGGCCCTCCAAAAATATTTACCAAACTAAAGCTGATTTAAGCTTCTAGGCCACAGAGAGTGCCACAAAGAAGTGAAGAAAAGAAAGCCAAGACAAGCACTCAAGTCCCCTTAAGATAAATTACACCTGTAAAAGTGGAAGAGCTCTCTCTCTTTGGACTACCTTTAGGTGGGAAAGTAGAATAAGCAGAGATTGCCATGACACTGGGTTTGAATGCTAGCTCTCCATGCTGGGAGGGACCTGGACAAGGTGTGCTTCAGTGTTCTTCCCTGAAACCAGGGCTACTAATGCCTATTTCTCAGGGCTTGGGAATTCTACATAATAATACATTTAAAGTGCAGGTATGCCTCATTTTATGGCACTCTGCAGATACTGTGTTTTTCTTACAAATTGAAGGCAAGACCCTCCACTAGCAAAAAGATTATGACTTGAAGTCTCAGAGGATGGTTAACATTTTTTAACAATAACGTATTTTTTAATGAAGGTATGTACATTTTTTTAAACATAATGCTATTTCTCAAGTCATAGACTACAGTATAGTGTAAACATAACTGGGAAACCGAAAAATCCATGTTCAGCTTGCTTTATTGAGATATTTGCTTTACTGTGGTGGCCTGGAACCAAACCTGCAGTATCTCTGAAATCTGCCTCTATTTATCTCAGTGCGGGATATACAGTTGGTCTTCATTAAACTGTGGATTCCTCATCTTAATTCTAAGCAGCGATGCTGAGCTGCTGAAGAGCACTTAGTGATTAAACACACGAGGACTTACAGTCACCTGTGCAGGAGGGAGGAGGGAACCCTGCTACACTCTGTCTTCCCATCGGAACGTCCTTGACTCCTTCCCGAAGAATGGCAGTTCATGAGAGGTTCATGAGCTTTGATCTCAGCAGCTCGTTTTTTGTCACTGCAATAATGGTACCCTAGCGCAGCTGTGCTCATCCTTGCTGGTGATTCATGAGCCAGGAGGCTAAGGGGTGAGGAATTTTTCTACATGAAATCTAAAGTAAGATCCCACATGTCATTGAAACAGCCTGCCCTGAGGCCCCAGATAACCCCAAGAATGGGCTGCTGGCAGGAGGGAGCCGTGGGCAGAAGGTACCAGAGGTTGGCTATGGTAGGTGATCATGGAAAGAGGCGTGGGGTGTCCTTACACTCTTTTCTTTCTTTTTCTCTGCCTTCCTCCAAGCATGGGTAAGGAACATGGGGCTGCCTGCCTGCTTCGCGCTGATGACTCACACCCAGTAGAGCAGCCCGCCCGCACCCCCCGCCTCATGTTCTGTTGAGACACTGAAAAGCTGAGAGAGAGAACACAGCAGGCTCACCGTGAGCAGCGTAAGGCAGGAGGTACCTCAGAACCTGCCAGCTAGAAGACTGTCTGGACAATTGGGCCGATGCCCTTTCTGTAAGTAAAGGGTCCCTGCTGCCAGAAGGCCAGGCAGCTGAGACTCAGCCATCGGAGGCAGCTGGGACTATTTTTAGCCACCCCAGTCACTCACATCTGGAGTTCCGATCTTGGTCGATGAATCACTCACTGTGGGTCTCTCCTCCTTCAAAACGGCCATGGACACACCGTGGTCACGATCATACAACCAAACAGAGAGCCCATGCCTCCAGTTTCTGAGCCACATGGCTCACAAGTGAGCCTGTTAGTCTTCCATTAGGGACGAGAACGAAAAGCAGAAAAGAAAGCTTTGAAGTGAGAGTAAACTTTAGCTCTCACTTCAGCTAAACTTTAGCAGAAGGTGAGCACATGAAGCCCGAGTTAACAGCAATGGAGGAAAGTGGCCGAAGGCAGCGGAGAAAAGAGCCCGGGTCATGGTGGCCAGTGCCACTGGACACGCTTTGGAGACCCACGCGACCCCTTTTCTAAAATAATTGTGCTAACCTGTGTGGCTCAGGGGGTGGGACCCCACCCCTGCGCCCTGCCCTAAGCCCTGGCCCATCAATTACACCGTCTCCAGGGCAGATACTGGTTCAGGGAGGAGCCCATGACCCAAGCCAAGGCCGTCACAGTCCTCGTGAGGACTTGGGCTTGAACTGTTGGAAAAGATGTCCTCTCCCTCCTCATGACACTCCCCACCAAGAGTGGAGGACAAGCGCCTCTTGGCATTTATCGTCACTGTTCACACTGAGCATAAGGCAACCAGAGAGGCCAGAAGACTGAAGACAGAATGAGTGACAGAACCCTAATCCCACTGTTTAAGCCCATTGGTTTGGCCATTCCTGAAACACCTTCAACGAATAATTTACTTTGTGTGCTTAGGTCAGTTTGAGTTGGATCTTTGACTTCTGTACCCAATATAATCTTGACTAATATGTCTATTTATAAAGCTCAGATAATGTGAACAGACAATAAAAGATCAAAGCGAAAAAGGAAGATGAACCAAGTCTCCCAAGAACTGATTCAAGCTGTGTCATCTCGGGAAAATCACTATCCCTTCCTGAGCCTCAGTTTACCCATCTGCCAAGTGGGATTACTCCCGGGATCCTGTTCTCCACCGGGATGCAGAAAGGAGCAAACAGACTACTATGGACGAGGGGCATCCCACAGAGCAGGCAAGGCGCGAACTAGACACCACTGACACTGGGTGCCCAGGCAGGAAAGGAGACTGGCGCGTCAGAGCCCCGAGATCTTGGGAGCACGCATCACCTTTTTTCCTGGCTTGTGAGATGAGGTCAGCTGCACTCTTGCTCATGACCTTTGTGACGTAGAGAGGGCAGTTGGTTTGGCTGGCGATGGTGATGGCACGGAACACAGCCTCTGCTTCCAGCTGCAAAAAAAAATTTCCCAGGAGTCAATAGGAACCGCTCCCCTGCTTCCACACATGAACGCAAAGCAGGCGTTCAAAGCCTAGAGCGGCTGGAGATGGACGCGCTGGATCTAAGTCTCAGATACAGCACTGCCTGGCTGGCTCACTCTCCTGGGCGTCTCAGTGCCTCCACCCCTCACCTGGGAGGTGGATGGAGATCAGGAGAGGACAGCACAGGGTTGCTGTGTGACATCAGGGCCTGGCACAGCACCAACGCTGCATCAGCGCAGCTCAAGTTTCACCTTGGCCTGCTCTCCCCTCCCTCTGTCGATCACAGAGGCCGCATGTGATGGACGCCTTTGCTCCCCAGTCTTCCCAGAGCAGGTTCTCTGGCAAAACACAATCCCAGCCCCAGAATGTAGGAAGTAACCAGTCAAGCCAATGAGGCATCATGTTACTTCAAACCCTTTCCTACAGCAACAGGTGGTCAGGGATGTGTTCGTTCCAGCAGGCACGTCTCATCCTAATAATTCCCAGACTTGTCCACACAAAGACTTCTTTTGTCCTCAACCTCCTCCATCCCTAATGTAGAATTCATGTTTTCAAAGATGTTAACCAGCCCAGTGAAATTCATGATGTAAGAAATGAGGAGCTCTCCCTTCTTTTACTAAGAAAGCGGGCTCTGAGAGCTCAGGCTTTCTCCCATGGCCTGGTTCTGAACCCCGGTTTTGCCACTTAGAGGCTGTGTGACCTCAGGTACCTCACATGGCCTCCTAAAGTTTCAGGTCCATAAATGGGGGATAATAGGACCTGTCACATATGGCTGTTTCGAGGAGTAAGAAAGTTCATCTATGAAAAGCACTCAGTTCACTCCTGGGACGATGGCAGTGTTCCCTGAAGGGTGGCTATTGGTCTTCTTGCTGGTGGCAGCTTCTGACCATGTGCGAGAGCCTGTGTTAAGTCACTACCCAAGTTAGTCCAGTGCAGCCCGAAGCAGAGACACTGGCATTTTTCCATTCAATCAGCTACACTCCCTTTTTGGATGGATATGACATTCTGGTTAGCCTATGCAGCCCAACCCTTCAAAAAATACCAAAAATAGCCTGCAGAAGCCCGAGGCGAACCAGTCCCTGCCCGTGGTGAGCGTGGCTCGGCAGACAGGCTCTACGAATTTGGCTGGTCAGCTGGCATCCCATGCATCCCATGCTGCACTTTTTTCCCTGTGGACAAGACCCTGGAGGCCCCTGAACACAGAGAAACGGGGCCCCCTTCCGGAAGTACTTTCCGGAAGTACCCAGACTCTTGGGAGTTTTTGGGCCTTTGGCTCAGCTCTTTGAACCTTAGCTCACTTGAGGTGGTATCTGATGTGCTTTGAACGGGAGAGACGCTGGCTTCCTGTATGCCCAGTCCTCCCCATCACACCTGTGCTGACCTCTCCAGCTGCCTCATGACCTCTGCCCAGGCCCCTTTGATCTTGCTCCCTCACAGCGCTGCAGGACTTTCAGCACCTTGACAACATGACTATCTTTGGAAGGTTACATCACTCTCCAACTTCACCCAAAAGGGCTTCCAGGGTTGTTGGGATCTGTGGCCGTGAGGCTTTCTACTAAAAAGGAGACGGAAACAGGGAGGAGGGGAGTATGAGGGGGAGTTGAACAAACAAACCAAAGAACAAAAATAGACTTTGCCCTTGGCTGCTGCTGAAAGATCTATCTTGCCAGCACATCTCAACAGTGACCAGCATTTAAGAAAAGTGTCACAAACAATGCTGATCACCTGGCCTACTTGCACTGTGCAGACAACTGTTGATCCTTCGGACAGGATGGGTGGGTGCCTTAACCGCTCTGATCTTCAGCTTCAGAATGCACAACAGCACCAGCCACCCAAAGCAGCAGCCAGACCCACTGCGACAACACAGTTGGCACAGTACCAGGTATGAGCAAGCGTTTCAGAGAAGGGACCTGGCATTAAGGACACATTCCTTTTTACAGAGATGCTGTGACTGTAACCCCAACACAAATTTTTTTAATTGAGGTATAATTAACATATAACACTATGTTAGTATCAGGTACTATACAATAATTTAATATTTGTACCTATTGCAAAGTGATCACCATAATAAGTCTTGTTAACATCCATCCCACACAATTACAAATTTTTTTCTTGTAATGAGAACTTTCAAGATCTACCTTATTAACAACTCTCAAAGATGCAATACAGTATTATTAACTATAGTCACCACACTGTACATTATATCCCCATGATTTATTACTTTTATATCTGGAAGATTGTTCATCTTTTGACCATCTTTACCCAATTTCCCTACTCCTTACCCCTGGTAACCACCAATCTGTTCTTTATGTATATGAGCTTGGGTTTTTTTGAGATGGGAAGGGAAATGATTGTTGTTTTGTTTCTTAGATTCCATGTGGAAGTGAGATCTTATGATATTTATCCTTCTCTATCTGACTTATTTCACATAGCCTAATGTCCTCAAGATCTATCCATGTTATTACAAATGGCAGACTTTCATTCATTTTTATGGCTGAATAATATTCCATTGTGTGTGTATCACATTTCGTCCATTGGTAGACCACTTAGGTTGTTTCCATATCTTGACCATTGTAAATAATGGTACATAAACATGGGGGTGCAGATATCTTTTTGAATTACTGTTTTCATTTTCTTCAGATAAGTATCCAGAAGAGGAATTGCTGATAGTTCTATTTTTAATTTTTTGAGGAACCTCCTTACCGCTGTCCATAGTGGCTGCACCAGTTTACATTCCCAAAGTCAAAATTATAAATAATTTCAACCGGTGACAAAAAGAGCATTAGACAAAGGAGTTTCTGGGGTGCAGGTAACATTCTTCTGTTTCTGCAGTTGGGTGCTGCTTACATAAGTATATTCAATTTGTGGAAATTCATTGTGCCTTCATGATAGGAACACTTTGTGTGTGGTACACTTTAATTTTTTAAAAGCTCCTAAAAGAGATGGGTGATGGGAATGCAATCATTTCTGGTTCTGACTCCTCCTTCAACCTGCTGTAGAGTGTGGGGCTCGGAACGACAGAGCAGGAGCACAGTTCACTTTGCTGACATGGAGGACCTTGAACTGGCTCCAGGTGCCAGACCCAGGCTAGTCCCCTAAAGCCAATATGTCCTCAGCCATGCAAGCAGCCAAGACCCAATTGTGACGTGTGCCAGCAGCTGAGACTGGGGACACCCCAGAGACATGGAATCAGCCGCTACTTCCCTCTCATTTGCTCCTCATCTACTAAGCACAGTCGCTAACCAACATTCATTTTACATGTGGGAAACTTCCATACCTACATGCAATCATCTCTTACACAAACTGATAGGCATATTGCCTATGAAAAACCCTTTCAGCCTCCTATCCATATGGCCAATATTTTGCAGGACTCAAAATATAGTATGGAATAAGGGGATAAGTAGAAATGTCTCCAAAATTCACATCGATTAAGAAAGGACTTACACATTTACCTCTCCTACTGAATAACAGAGTGCCCTCCAATGGTGTAGTCTTTGGAGAGATTAGGGGTCAGGAGTAAGCATTCCCTTCTAATTTTCTAAGGGGCGCTTGAGTTGAGTCATTCAAAGTGATCTTGGGAAAAAATGGTCCAGTCTTGCTGTGTGGTATTGACAGAGCCTCACCACCTTTCACCACGTTTATCCCCACACCGTGTGTGCATGTGCCTGGGAAGGGAGGCCGAACGCTACCACTGCAAATGTACAATGATGGACAAGCCATCCGGGAAGCTGCTGGGATTGGGACTGTGGTAATGGGAGACTCTCGGAAGATGCTGGTGAGAAAGAAATCCCCCAGTGCTAGGGCTTCTCTCTCTGTCTTTCCACCTACCTGATCCCTCCCAACCCCCGCAACTCACCTCCTCTGGTCTGCTCAGCACGTGGCCTTCTGGGCCAGTTATTCCCATTTCCAACATCCGGGACTGCTCCTGGAATGAGAAAATAGTTTTTTATTTTTTAAAAAAAACTTATGATATCGCTTAGTCAAGATTTATTTCAAAGCCTGAAATCATTCAGACCAATCAAAAAAGGTGCTACTGCAATTTCTTATAATACATCAACACTTAAACTAAAACTTTAAAAAATGTAAGACACTATTAACTAACTCCTAACTAATAAAAACCATCCTCTATTTCTTAGGACAGCTCAACTAGGATTTGGAAACGTGCTGAAGATGTGGTCAAGGGAAAAAAGAGTAAAATATGTATGTTGAATAAATTCATTACCTCTATATGTGGAATTGCAAATTGGGGCAGAGTTTTAACTAACAGGAAAAAAGCATTTAAGCGTGGCCTGCTTTCACCAAAAGAAGGTCTGCTAAAGAATATAGTTGTTTTCGACATTATGCATCAGAAGTCACATGATCTCTTATACTCTATTTCTTTCAGAGGCAGACCTCTGAGAGTACACTCATTTTTGAATTCATTCATGCATTTTAAAATCCATTCACTCAACACAATTATTGAGTATCTGCTTCATGCTGGGCTCTAGGTACCTGACCTGAGGCAACGAGGCCCCTGACTTAGTCCACTACACTAAGTCCACTGTTTCCCCAAGTCTGGTCAACCCACCGCCTACATCAGAATGAAGCTGGTTGTGTTTGTAGAAATGCAGAGTTCTGGCCCGATTATCCAGGTCTACCAAATCAGAATATGTGAGGTTAAATTCTAGCAATCCGCATTTTAGTAAGCTTTTTAATGCTTTACTTTTTATGACTTAAATGAATGGATTAGAATTTAATCGGACATAATAGTGCCTCTACCCAGCATTACCTGAGTTCCTCTTTTGGTCAATTTCTAACTAATTAGGTCTGGGATGAGGTAGAACTGCCTACCCCTTGTGGCTGATTCCTCCGACTTCTGGCCAGCTTTTTGGGAGAAGCAGGTAGCTGTGCAGTGAACACACACATGGGCTAATTGGAACTGGCACAAATCCCAAGCCACCATCGCTGCAGTTTTGGTGACATTCATTCTCAAAGCACGAAGGCCAGTCCAACGAACCTCTGCCCCAGGGATGTGAGAGATGGAGAAGAGCAAACTGAACTACGCCTTGTCTCACTCCGAAACCATGAGATGTTCAGGAAAGAAGGGATTCCTTCTACCTGAAAAAGGACCATTTTGTTGTTGTTTGTTTGTTTTTAATAATAATTTTTTAAAAGAGTAGAAAGGAAGATTCCACTATAAGCAACCATGAAAAATAAAATAGTCACTGTTCCCAGCTCTATAGAATTTGGGAAAAGGTCAGAGGCTTATTTTACTAGGAATGTACTTCCACATTTCATTCTAATTGTTTCACGTATCTAAACTTGGATTGAACAAAATTTCTTCCAAACTCTGGTGAGTTTCCACTTTGAATTGCATCCTGAAGTCATTCACACAAGGGTTAAGGTCTCCAATGAAAGCATCTTCTGTCTGATAGGACACCCCCACCCTTATCTTGTTCAGGAGTTCTGGGACAACATGCAGATGAAGGAGGTCTGAACTCTGCTCCCAGCCTCCTCAGTCAGAACCTCCAGGACTGGGAGAATCCTAGGAGCTGGTCTTTAAGTTCCACAGGTGGTCCTAATGCCCTGTTCATGCTGGAAAGTCCTGTCCCCAAAGTCAGGGTGCCCCTACAGCTTGAAGAACGGCATGTAAGCCCTGGCTGGGTATTTCCATGGTTAGAGGGTCATCCCAATATACCAAGACTGTGGGTTCAATCCCCAGTAAGGGCACATATAAAAATCAACCAATGAATGCCTAAATAAGTGGAAAAACAAATCAGTGTTTACCTGTCTTTCTGTCTTTCTCCCCCTTCACTCTCTAAAACCAATCAATAAAAAAAATTTTTTTAAAGAATGACATATAAAGGGCCGTCAGTGCCACTTGTCATGGCTAGGGGACAGTGGCACTTTGAGGCACTGATCACTAAGGTAAGTACTCCATTGGGGTCACGGCACAGTTTCAGTTTGCTCCATGAGGAAAGGGACACTGTCTTTTTCATCTTCCCTCTCCAATGTTCTACCCACAGTAGGTGCTCAATAAATATTTGTTGGATGAGCGGCTAAGGATGCTGTGCTCTCAGATTGTCCTTCTGAAGATATTCCTTGTTGGGACCCATAGGAAAAGATTTCTTCTTCCTCTTTAATCACTTTGGCACCAAGTGCAGCCAGAGATTCTGAGGACAACAGCTGCTTCAGTTAGATATGTGATCAAATCTTTCAGCTCAAGCTGAATTTAATAAACACACACAAGAAAATGCATCCAAATGGAAAAATGCCCTTATTCTTCTCCTGACTGAGACCAGATCTTCCCAACATTAGGGGAGGGGAGGGGTGGGGGGAACCAGAGCTATTTCTGTGCCAAGGAGCCACAGAGGAAGCTGGAGAAGGGTCTCTGAGCTGGATGTTTGCCTCCGCAGGCCCTAGACTGAAGCAGCAGGGAGTTTGGTCTCTCGGGCATCTGGAGGGAGCACTGGGACCTCTGGCTGATGCACTGAAAACTTACAGAAAAGGGAGGAACGACAGCTCTGATACCACCAGACACCTCCCCTGGGAGCGAGGCATTTGGACCCCCTCTGGAAAAATGATTTCATTATCTCTGGGTGTGTGGGGGGCGTAGGAGAAGGCTGTCAGGGGCCTGACTAATTAACCTCCTCAGTCACCAGCAGGAGGAAACTGCACTCTGAGCTCACCTCCTCCACTAATGAGACAACACTCCAACAGCTGGCGCGCTGCACAGCTGGCGCGCTGCCTCCCCCGGAGGCCTGCAGCCAGGCGGGTGGGGCACGGGGCCCACTGAGGCACATCCCCTCAGGGACTGAGATTCTATTCTCCCAGTTACTGGCTGTGACCGTTGGGACGGTGACGCAATCCCTCTGTGCCTCAGTGTTCTCATCAGCAGGATGCGGAGGGTGGCAGTCATCTTTAAAGGGCCGGGTGAAGATTAAATGAGGACATACCAGAGCCCTCCTCGGAGCCTGGCAGACGGTAGGGAGTACTCCCAAAGCGGTACCTGCTATTGGAAGCTAACGGGGTGGCCTCAACATTGTTCCCGCGCCCCTGCCCCTCACATTCACCAAGTCCCGGACAACTTCTAAAATAAAGGCACAGCCCAAGCGCTCTGAGCTATGGGAGACATCTGTCTTGGCTCGCCTCTGCATAGCCTAATGCCTGGCACAAAGCGCTCAGGAAATACTCTTTGAAAGGATGAATAATGGTCTCTTGCTATTAATGTTATGGGAAGGACTAAGAGACAGCTTACACTCTTTTCTGGCAGCCTCCACCTAGCGGAGGCCAACCCGGGGGTAAACAGAGCCCGGCTAAGACACATCTGTGCATCGAGCTCATTAAGCAGCCCTGGAGATGAGGAGGAAAGTGCTTTCTGCTTCCACGCAAATGATCAGTTTGGGCCTTGGGACCCTTGCTTTCATCGCTTTCCTCAGGTTTCTCTGTGATTTCTAGGAAACCAATGCGATGTCTGATCCCCACAAGACCTCAATTCTTTATTAGCTAAGGCTGGGAGTGCCACAGTCGTGGATCAGATTTCTGGCTTCCGAGAAGTGCTGCCTTAGGGTTTCTCTTTAGGGCAGAGAATGCCATGGACCTTGGACTCATTTCGAAAAGCGAATCAGCAGCGCTATCCCATGAAACGCTCCGATTTGAAAACCTCCTCTTCCAGGAAGCCTTTGCTGATTCTCTAGAAAGGCCAGATCTCTCCCTGTTATCCAACAGCTTTTACTTTCTCCCTCACTTGTCTATGTTTTCTTTCTTTCCTCCTCCTCCTAGACAGTGAGGCTCTTCCGGGCAGGTTTTTAGCAGGGAACTTAGGAGGGTGCCTTGCCCATGGTGAGAGCCAAAGCCACGTGAAGGAATGAGGAAACGGATGGGACGCACAGCGAAGCCCACGCAGAAAGCACGCTCCAGGGAGCTGCACGCCGTTACCTGAGCGATGATATCCCCGTTCTCAGCATGAACTTGAGCGATGGCTCCCAGCTCTCCCAGGCAGGTGAAGATCTCGTAGAGCTGAAACAGAAATGAGTCATCACCTTCACAAGCCACTGATGCTTTCAGCAACCTCACACAAGGACCAATGACAAAAGTCCGAATGGGATAAACCGGAGGAAATAGCTGACCAGGGCAGAAATACGGACTAAAACATGCACGACTCAAGAGCAGTGCCAGTCCAAAGAAAACTCCAGAAAACTGCTTGTACACAGAACCTATGGTGTTGCCTGAGCAGACAGGGCAAATATATGACAAATGGCTACCAGCCCCGCCACGCCTGTCCTGCGCGCTTTTGTACGGAACTGTTTCCCATTGAGCTGAGATAGAGTCTCCTCAACAAGTGCTCCCAAAAGCCACAGCAGCCTGGCCAGAAGCTGACGCAAGAGCTGGCACCCCTGCCTCTCACCCTCTCCAGATAGACTTCCCTTGACCTTTTCACCAAAATGTACGGGAATTAAATTCTCGCATTTCCTCTGAAAACTTTAGATTCACCTCAAAAACATTTCATGGATTTCTTAAGGAGAGTCTGAGGCAAACTGGGACAATTACCCCAAAGAGCAGAAGGCTCTCCTTACTCCTGCAGGGCTGAGCACCTCCTGTGTTCCCTGAGCTCACCGGGGGCTGGGGTTGGTTTGGTAGAGGATGATGTAGGCACACCCTTCCTCTTGTCCTTTTCAGAAAGCCTCTGCCCATGGAAAGTCTAGCTCCCTGTCTGCCCTGCCGTGGGCACCCTGCCTGTTACCTAATTTACAACGTAGTGTAAACTGCCAGGGCTTCGTGAAGCAATCTGGCCTGGTCGTCTCCCACAGTGCCCGCAGTGAGTCAGGTTCAAGAAGCCAAGGTCATCAGCACACAATAGGAAACCCATCCAGATACACCAAGCCACACAGCAATGGGTCATTACCTCTGTGTTGGACACTTGATACAAATCCTTATAGGCCATGTAAACCATGAAGGAGTTAACCCCTGCAAGAGAGAGAAGAGTGGGTAGGGAGAAGACAGAATACTACGACCACTCCCCGTCCTCTATTCCCACTCCCATGGGCCCGAGGACATTACAGGCTCCCATCCAATGCAAAGCAGATGCTTCCCGTTCTCCAAAAACATTTTCCTGTTCCCTTCTCACCCTGGAAAAGCAACAGTTCTGACGTCATGTCACAGAGAATGGTCTCTTCTTCTGCACCTCTTTCTTGCCCCCCACCCAACACTCCCCAACCCACAGGGTGAACAGATTCATTATTGCTTCAGGCAGAAGGTGAATCCCAGAGAATCACTCTAGCATGCTGGCTGTGTTCACACGCTGGGGGCTGCACCACCCACCAGTCCACGGAGCTTGGAACCCCTGACTCTTATCCTCAGTGTCTTCATCTGTAAAATGGAAAAATGGTAGTGCCCTGCTTTATAAGATTGTTGGAAACATTAAATGAAACACACACCGAGCTCTTAGCACCAGCCCTGGCACATATTTGGTCTCCACGAATGGATCTCCTGGGGATGGTTTATTTCGTCTTTAATGAGTGCCTGCTCTACATGGGACCTGTGCAGGGTTGAATCTCAAAGGATCCTGTCCTTGGAGAACTAATAGGGCTACTGGGCAGAAGTCAAGGGTTCCCTTGCGCTTAAATATCTAAGTTGTAGGGGTTATTAAAAAAAAGCCATTTATTTAATTTTGTACCCCAAATCAACTATTAATATAGTAATGTACAGAAATAGGCGGGACTAGGGCCAGAGAGTCATTTTGAAATAAAAAAAAGAGGGTAATTTTGGTCTCCAACCCTCAGGGCCCTCTCAGCCCACAGTGTTCCAGGACAAAAGTGGGTTGTAATCTGAGAGCTTCCCTATCCCGAGTGGTTCAGCTCAGGGCAGTTTTTCCCAACACTGCCCTCCCCTCGGCCTCTGTGTCATCTGCAGAATGACCCAGGCCCTTTGGAAGGGAAGTGGGCTTTAAAGCCGTTCAATTTTCTACCCCAGTTCAGATGGCCAGTGTGAAAGGAGACACAAGAAAGAAGGGGGATAACCCCTCCTTCTGAATCAGGAAGGATCGGGGCAGAGCTTGTGGGGTGAGGAGGGAAGGGAAAGGAAAACTTGTCCTCTGCAGGATTATTCTCTCCCCTCTGACGCAAAACACACTCTCGCATGGCACGTCTGGTCTTTGTATGAAGACTGTTTGTTCAATAACTGTGTTGCATCATGGGGCCTTGTCCAGTGGCCTGTCCCCTTCTGCCCCGTATGCTCAGCAGAGGCCATTTCTTATACTTTCCTAAGTCCCTGGGCATGTCACATGTCTGTATGGGGTTGGGGGGAACGGTGCATGTGTGTGAAATACCTGGCAATCAATATGTAGGAAGAAGTAGAGAAGAGGCTAAGAGGACAGTGGGAACTTAAACCATGCACTCACTGAGAGCACACGTGCGTGCGCACATACAATACGGACATGGGTTCATGCCTAAGCCCCTAGTCTGAGTACAAACAATCTTTGCTCCCAGAAATGTCTCAGCTTTTCTGGGGATGCTGTTGATACATCATAGTCATGGGTCTGATCTTTGGAGTAAAAAAGATGGAGATTAAAAATTCCGAATCTCTTCTCAAGTGGCTGTGTGACCTTATGTATGATGTTAACTTCTTGTGACCTCAGCGTCTTCCTCTGTCACATGAGCAGCACTGCATGGGGGCAAAGGGCGCAGGCTGCGGGGAGATCTACTGCTCACAAGCTCTGTGATCCTGGGTCACGCATTCTGAGCCTCAGCGTCTCCATCTGCCAAATGGGAATAACAACACCCACCTCGGGGAGACCCCGTGAGGAGCAAGAGAGATGGAATAAAGTGTAGCGGTACCCCTATCACCCAGCACTCATGCTTGAGGTTCCGGGCTCCAAGCAAGGAGAAAGGACACCAATGAATGAACCGTGTGGGATGGATGGGCGACAGGGAAGAAAAGGGGGAAGGGAGGAAGGTACGATTAGGCTCACCTTTGTCCTTGATGAGGTTCTGGACCTCCTGCTTCACACTGTCGTTCCAGTGGGTGATGTCCACATGCAAGGCATAGTCACAACAGCTCTTCCCATCGGCCCACTCTCGCCACTTCTCATAGGCCTCTGTCAGGCTGGACTCAGGCTCGGGCACCACGTGGTCAACTGTGTGACAGAGACCCCGGACGGGTGACTCACTGACCCAGCCTTCATTCCTCCTCGCACAGGCCTGCTCCTGCTTGCCTAGCCATGACCACAAAACCTCTATTTCATGAGCATGGAATCAGCCTTGGAAAGAGCTGCTGATGATTTAACTGTCATGTAACTATGTGACCTTGGGCCAAATACTAGCCTCCCTATAACCTCATTTTTCTCATCCTTAAAATGAGTCCCAAGGCAGGTGGGAGATAGGATGTCATAGTGCCTTCCTTCTAAGGTTGTTATACAAGGAGATGGGAAAATGCTCTAAAGTGCTTCCCCTGGTGGCTGGCACATAGCAAGTGCTCAATTAATGTTAGCGAGCAATGTGGGGATACGAGGCACCATCATTACCAGGACTGCAGGAAGTCACTAGAAGACATAAGTCCAACTCCCTTGTAAGGGTGGAGAAGGGATTTTAAAGTTATGTCTGGGCACAAGAGTGACATCTCCATGCTTACTGCCATAGCAAAGAGCCGGTGTCAGTTAAACAAACTTGACACTAGGCCCATAGACCTCATATCTGTGTAAATTCTTTGTCAAGTATCTGGTTTCTTTGAGGCCCAAATCTACCTCAATATTTGAGGCCAAATCTACCTGCAATACCTGCACCCATGAATAATATTTTTTTTAAATAATAACATTCACAGTTGGTGAGGATAAGGTAAAAGTGCCACACTCATAGTTCACATGGGCAGTAGAGAAAAAGTGGGAATTGGTACAACTTTCCTAAAAACAATAATAAAAATAGATATCAAAAACCCTTGACATTTTTTCGTATCCTAACTCAATGATTCCTGTGCCTAAGAATTATTCTGAAGGAAATAAACGACGCTGTGTGCAAAATCTGGGTTCTAAAGATCTCTGTCAGTCCAGATTATTTCATATATACATAAGGGAAAACTGGAAACCACCTTAATATTTAACAATAGGGAAGTTTAGTAAAATACATAAATTCTGATACCTTCATAAAACAGATGATTTGGCACCCGTTATATGTGTTGGAGTAGAATAAAAATAAATGAATGGAAAGACATCTATGACAATATCATTTCATGAAAATGGGAGGCTAAAACACAGTATATCTACCTTGATCCTACTTTTGTGAAAGAGGAAAACTATACAGGCAAACTGCAATTGCGATAGGGATTTGTAAGTTTTCTTTTTCTTTTGCACACCCAGGGTTTTCAAATTATCCACAAAGGACATACACATGTGTGTGGTTCTCCATATACTTTTCCCCCTCGACACTTGCAAATCTGACTTTTCTCCTGCTCCTTCTCTCATGCAGAAGACTAAGCAACGTACACATCTCCAGAAAGCTGACGAGTTCAACTCCATGCCCAGAGGGCAGGAGGCCAAGCCAAGATCACTCACTTCCTCAGTCCTCTATCGCAGCAGCCTAAGTGCACTTATCGGAAAGCAAACGCACGGAGCTACATTACTGATGTCTGGACTCACACCAGGGCCTTCGCGGGCAGGCGGCTGCTGAGAAGTCAGATGGCTTCTTCCCTTTTGGCTGGAAAGAGCTTTGGTCTCCTTAAATTGCAACTTTTATGGCCTCGATGCAATTTTCCTGGGCTTCCACACCCCACTAGCTGAAGCTGAAGCCTGCTAGGGCTCCCGTCAGAAAGAAAATGAATGATTCTATGGCTTTGGCTGTTTTCTTTCCTCAGGTGGACATATATGATGTTAAAATAAACAGTGCGCTTGGTGACCAAGTTGGGGCGGGGGCTGGGAGGGGACCCAATCCACTGGGATTCCCTTGAGATAGGAAGGACTGCCCTTGGATACATTCCATTCAGTAATCCAGTGGCAAGCAACTCCCTAGGTTTCTTTGGAATTGCAACAGTTACCAGAAAAAGGAAAAGAAATAAAAAAAAAAAAAAAAAGGAAACCTCAGACACAGCTTGCTTGCCTAGTCTGAAGTGGTCAAAATACAGCACAGACCAGATAACACTAAATGCCACCAAAGGCCATTCGTGTCTCCAGAACTTCAAGTCTCCTTTGTCATTCTCTCTGGGATGCTACTTAGTGCCACTCGCATGCTCTGCTATGTTCTCTGCCCCCTCCTGCCCGACACCCAAACTGGGCGTTCTGAAATAACTTTTTGTCTACTATCCACAACTTGTTCAGTCCGCTTTCCCCAGTGACGGGCCCCGAGGCAGTCCTTCCGGATTCTCCTCGCTGCACGCCAGCCCCTGGAGGTAAGGCAGACGGGGGAGACGGTGCCTGCCTGGTCCTGAGCCTCGGGCGGCCCTTCTCTGCAGCGACACTGAGCTGCCAGCCTCCTCGCTCCAGCCTGCTCTGACCAAGGCCCATCAGGTGGCAGGTCTACAAACTGTCTCAAGGGAAGGGCACAAGTCACCGTCAGCGAGCCCAGTGGTTAACTCATTCCTAACACTTGGGACCAGGGATGTGTCATTTGGGGGGGACTTACTGATCATGGTGGTGCCGCCAGCCAAGGCGGCCTTTGTCCCTTGGAAGAAGTCATCCACGGTGGTCATCCCCTTGTAGGGCATCTGGAAGTGAGTGTGGACATCGATGCCTCCGGGGATCACCATCTTCCCGTTGGCCTCGATGGTCTTCACGCCTCCAGGGACAATCAGATTGTCTCCAATTTGCCTGTAAGACAGTGAAACAACTGGCGATTTAAAGGAGTGACTTGGAAGACGAACAGTATTCTAAGAGTTTTAAACACTGTACCTCTTTATCAAAATAGTCTTTGCAAGTGGTTCACAAGCTTAGCCATCTAGAAACAAATAAAGAGAGGTATACATACAAAACCCAGTTTTTATATAGACGCAAAACAACCCAATATGCTGTTTGGTGGAAACCTGTGTCCTGGTTTAGTAGTGTGACGCCAGGGGCTTGGGACTGTCTGGAATAGAGGGTGTGAAATGAATTTATGAAAGTACAGTGTTTGTTAAATTCCTTTCATTTTGTTATTTGAGTTAAGGGTGAGGAGCAGCATTTGAAAGGGGATTGAAAGAGTGGGAGAGATTGCAGGAGGTAACGAATCATTTGAAGAACAGGCATGTGAACTTAGCTGTCCTCTAAGTGGGCTCATCTGGGCTCCTCACAAAAGAGGACTCTGCCTGGGTCCTTTTGCACCTCAGTTTTCACTCCCAGTTCCACCCTTCCCCGATCATGTATCTGTCAGCCACACATGAAGACAGGTGCAAAGGGAGGAAGTTACAGATGTACATGGCCGGCCACAGCTGCTTTGGTGGGCTTGGAATTTCAGTAGAAGCTCCAAGCCAAGGAAGATGATTATGACAACCTCCACCCAACATGCCTTCACCCAGGGAGCTTCAGAGCATCCCAGCGAGGAAGAGAGGGGGACTTGGGTAGGGAGGAAGCTGATGAGTATCAAAGGCACACGACACAAGGCTAGGGACAAACACAACTACTTCTGGGACAATGCCACCTCATAGACCATCTCATGTTGCTCAAATTATATGTGATTTCACACCCTTGACTTAACTGGCCAGTTAAAGCTGTCCAATATGGATTCCAGGTAGAGCTATAATTCATAAGCCCCTACATTGTCATTAAATATCTCCTACCTTGGGGACACATAAGATCCAATGCCAGTAGCATGAATGCTTCCTCTTTGCTCCTAGCCAGCCAAGCAAGAAAGTCCCTTGGGGCACTAGAGGTCCACCACTGGCCTGCCAAAATCTTAGTTTTGCCACTGAAGTATTTCTAACATCTCTAGGAGTTCAACTTCACCAAATCACCACCAGGCAATTCCAGAGCCACCACAATTCAAAACCCACTGTGGAAGAATTACAGGCTCTGGTTGCAACCCCTGTCTAGTCCACATACTGGTCCAATGTGCTCCTACTTTTTCCCCTTCACTGAGTGTCCTCTGAGGGAAACCGAGAACCAAGGGCAGGAAGAACTGCCTGGCTGCTGTGTGTGTGTGTATATGGGTATGTGTGTATTTCCACCACTCTGACAACTAGTATAGCGTCAAGTCTGAAACAGAAATGCCTCCCCTTTCCCTCCACTCAGCTAATCAACTTCACAATGATCCTAGAAGGCTCAGCTTCCATCTCTCCTCCTTAGTCATGTTTCTAGTGACAGCCAGATCTAACAAGAGTTGTAGATCGGCTCTGGATATGGGGCGTCTAGATGCCCAAACTTGGCTTTGCTAGTTACTAGCTTTATGGCCTTGGCCAAGTTACTTAACCTCACCAGGTCTCAATTCCTTCATCTGTAAAAATACAATAAAGGCTACTCCGTAGTGTTGTTGTGGAGATTAAATGTTATTGTATTAAGCCTAAAGAATACTGTTAGATACATAAGAAGTCAATAAATATCAGCTATTGTAATTAATAACCACACTATTCCCACATAGCCCTCTCCCTCTGAATCTCACCATTCTACTAATTTAATATTTGATCCTGATACTATCTGGTAATGTTACATATGTTCTTTGCATACACACACAGACACACACTCACACAGATTATTCCCTAAAAATCTGTAAGTCCCTCGGGGAAAAGAGCATGATGACATGGTGATTTGGGTCCCATAGCATGTGCCCAGGGACTTAGACAACTGCCTTGCACATAGCAGGCACCCCATAAATATTCACAGGCAAGCAACTATGTAACGGAGGAAAAACAGATGCTCTCAAATTTATGGTGGGGTTATAAGTCCCAATAAACCCATCATACATTGAAAATATCGTAAGGTGAAAATGTATTTAAGACACCTAACTTATTGAACATCATAGCTTAGGCTAGCCTACCTTGCGAAGAACGCTTAGATTAGCCTACAGAGTTGGGCAAAAGCATCTTAGTATCATAAGAGAGTACTGTACCACCTATCACTAGCCCAGGAAAGGATCAAAATTAAAAATTTGAAGTATGGTTTCTACTGAAGGTGCATCACTTTCACACAACTCTAAAAATATCCTAAGTCAAACTACCGTAAGTCAAGAACCATGTGTATTTCTGATTTTATGCTCTGTTAAGAATGTTGTTAGAGACATAGGAAATTTCAGGAAGGGACGAAGATCCTGTTTATCCAACCTTATCACCACCACTAATGCACATATCTGATGGTTAAATTCCTTCTATAATATCTTTGGCAAGTGGCCTCTAGTCCGACCTAATAGAGGTGGCAAAAAGAATTCATTTTGCGTACTCAACTCTAGTATTAGATGCCTGAATCAGTGTGTAAAGATGGATTGAGCCTCTATTTAAGACTCAAATATGAAAAGTTCTGTGATCCATTATTGATGCCTGTCATGAGCATCATATAAGGAAGAAACATTAGGTACTAAATTATTTTTTCCATCTCTGAATCCCTAAATGAGGGAATTCACTACCTCCAAAGAGAGCAAACTACATACAATAATTTTTAGTAATAAAAAATATAAAATCAATCATGACATATTTTGACAAAATTATTATTTTATATTGGTTAGCGTGCCTAGTATTTCCATTCTTCTACTTCTAATATGAAAAAGTATTGATAGAAATTGGCAAGGCAACTAAACACCAATATCTTGCATTTGTTCACTCATTCATTCAATGTATCTGATTAATGTGTTGATCGTTAGCAAGTTATTTACTTTCTCTGTTCTTCTTTCTCCTCATCCGAGAAGAGAGTAATAATGATACTTCCTTCATAGGATTGCTGGCAGCTTAGATAAGGCATAAAACCATTTAACAGTGCCTGACATGTACCACATACTTAATAAAAGGTAGCACTTATAAAAGTGCCAAGTGCTCTATGTGCTAAGTATTAAATCAAGTGTAAGGGATACGGGGATGAACACAAGGTCCTTGCTCTCAAGGAGGCCTAAACGTGTCAGAATTGGCGACAATTGATAAAAGCACAAGATGTTTTGAAAGCTTGCAGGAGGGGAAGCTAACTTAGACTTGTGAGCTGATAAGGGATGTTCCTACAAAAAGTTCTATCTAAGCCAAGTTTTCAAAGATAAGTAAGAGGTCCCCTGTAACCAGAATCTAGCCAATGAAATGGAAAACTATAAATATAAAAATGAACGAGGTCAGGGATGGCTAATAGGATGAACTGAATACTTCTGTTTTATGCAATATCCTATCACTGGGGGGATGTATCATGCTTTACACGATGAAAGGCTACGTGTATATAAAATGCTTTCTTAAAAGTCACTAGGTAAGGAACCTGCACAGAAAGGTTACCTGGCTGTTTGCTAACAGGCATCCAGTAGCAAACCATTTTGTAAAGTAATTATACATTCCTAAAGTAGCTATTTGGAAATCTCCCCCAAAATATATGCTCTGCCTGTGCTCTGCTCGTCTAAGTCTTACCTAAGTCAAGGTTCAGTTTAAACGACCTCTCCACCCCAAAACCTTCCTTTGGACACTTCTCAATTACTTGTCCTCACTTGAGCTCCTGTGGTACCTATTTTTGGATGCTATCATTTGTGCACATTTTTCAGCATCCTTAAGGGCAATGGTCACATCTTCCACTTCCCCAAGACGCAGAGAACGCCCATCAAGGCAGCTTGCGCCAAGGGGCCCTCAGCGTCAGTTGATGGCTTAAATTCAGATCTGTCACTTCACTCATGTAATCCAAGGGAACCAAGTCTGGCTCCCACTTTTGAAAAATCATGTATATCCAGACTGAAGGGTGAAAATAAAGACTCATTTTCAAGGGGAAGAAGAAATGAAACACAGGGAACCATCAGTTTAGTAGGCAAAATAGTAGCCAGCTTCTTTCTGCAGAGGAGACTAAGTACAAAAAGCTAAAGAGAAGGGGTCCACATACGTACTTTATTAAGCCATCTTCCATGTAAATGTCAGCATAAAAGGACTGATCATCGTTGACGATTCTGCCTCCCTTGATAAGAAGACGGTCACTCTAGAAGAAAAAGAGAACACAAGTCAGTCTTACAGCTCAGCTCGCAGGGAAGAGTGGTCTGCCAAGGTTTTCGCAACGCACTGCCCCTGAGGTCCAGCGAGAACACATTTCCTGAAGACGCCTGTGTGTTCTGTGCACTCAGTAGCTGAATGGGGTGTATTTGTTAGGGATCCAGTCTTTCTCGCTTTCCTCTTGTTCAGATTTTTCTGGAGTTTCACCTCTTGCTTTAGCAACCTATCAGAGAGATTCAGAAACAGCTGCCTGAGGGAGGACACTCTTTCTACTATCTCTTTGCATCAGTAAGCACTCAATATTTAAAGTGTGATAACATATACCTCGGTGCCCAGCTCCCAGCCTGGTATTCTGTTGACACTCCATAGTCCTTCTCAAAAATAGAACTTAGATCAGGCTATGAAAGAGCCTGTAAAAGTCTGTACAATGTCATGGTAGTCATGTTATACTTAAAATTCAGGATACTTATATAGGTATGCATACATGCACATTAAGTTGTAGAATGTACAAGAAAACCACTCGATGGGAAAAAGAGATAAAATATCTATAGTATTTAATTCAGGGTGAAAAATTATGCAGGACTTATATTTGCTTCATTATACTCAGTATTTCTCACATCTTCTGAAATGTAATCTCTTTATTGCTTTTATTATTAAAAATTGCTTTCTCTTTTATAAGAAAAAAATAAGAAAAGTCATTAAAAATTACAATTTAGATGCAGTTTGGATAAGTAAGCCAACTGGAAAAATGCACATAGACTCCAAGGTTATTAACAAAATATAAACATATATTTTATATGTAAGTCATGAGAGATAAATCAGTGTTAGCTTTCACAGATTTCATTAAATAAATGGAGTTTAGACTGCGGCCTGAGGGATGGATGAAGCTTCGTTAGGTGCAGGGGGGAGAAGGGAATTCTTAGGAGGCTGGCTGAGTGGACTAGAGCAAGAAAAAAGGAATAGCAGGGTGGATTTTTTTAAGATTTCAACTTAAGGACTCCATCCATCCATCCATCCATCCAACCATTCATCCATCCATCCACTCATTCAGCAAATAATTACTTAATATTTATTACTAAATAGGTGGTAAGGGCACAGTTGTGAATGAGTCATACTTTCATGGTCTTAAAGGGGAAGTCTGGCAATAAAGAAAAAAGAAACTCAACAAAACAAACAAAATGTAAAAGTGCATTAAGTGTCCCAAAATATAGGGGAGCAGAGCTTGTGTAAATAGGGGCTGGACAAGGCCTTTTAGGGAAGATTAACTTAGATGGGGGTGGTAATGAGGAACCACAGGCAGATGGAACAGAATGTGCAGAAGCCCTGAGGTAGAAGTGAGTTCTGTTTCTTTGAAAACCTGAAAAACATCAAGAAGGAAAGTGGTATGGACTGCAGCTGGCGGGGTGGGCACTGGCTCTCAAAGGGGACATAGGTTTTATGGGGAAGGAAGCCCCACACAGATGCTGACTTCTGGCTTCAGAAATAAAAGTGAACATGGCCAGACAATGAGAATTAAAACTCGGGACCCATGAGGGATGAGGCAAATTACCATTCTGTTTCTCCTGCTTCCCAGATATTGCACGAGAACAAGAGATTTCATCATGCCCTATCGTCAGGGGAGGGAGAGGACTGTGAACGGATGCAGACCAATGAGGCGCTTAGGAAGAACCTATGTATGTGGCAAGGAGATGCACTAACAAGGCCACATACAAATTCCCAGCACGTCTGACCCCCGAGCCCCTCGGGAGCCAGCCTCAGTCATGTGTCCACCCTCCCTTCTATGACGTACTGCCTCATATTTTGCACAGAGATAAAGCTAAGAAACGTGCAGTTCTTGTCACGTACTGTGCTCTCGGGCCACTAAGCCTTTGCAAAGACGTTCTCTTTGCTTTCTCATGTTTACTTGGTGTTGAACAACCATCCTCCCCTTTATCCAGCCTCCAGTCAAAGGGTTTCTCCCCTAGGACGCATTACCTGACTTTCTAGCAAATTCTACCTGCTGCCATTGTAATTTAGTTCAAACAATTACAATGTTCTCGAGAACTAGTTTATTGTTCAATTGTTTCCTGACTTGACCAAAGACTCTTCTGGTTTTGAAGCCATGTGTCTTTAATTCTTTTATTAGTTCTTGCAGCCCATCCTTGATAGCTATTAAATATTAATGAAATGAATGAATGAAGGGTGGGACACAGGAAGCTGTATTATATCGGTATGACAGGAGGCCATCTGCGTCAGAAAATTATGTGAAGTGGCCAAAAAATTAGACTTCAAGAAGCATTAAGAAAAAACCTTGAAGGCTATTGTGACCTACTGTTTTAACGGTGGCCGGAAATCTGTAGCAGGCAGTCCTGGGGCTATGCTTCCGAACTAGGAAAACAGACTCCTGTGCCCTGCTCTGGACACCTGTATTTTATAAGCTCCATTCCCAGCTCTTATGGAGCCGTCAGCCAGCCCAGGACCAAGTCACAGGCCAGGAGCAAAAAGCCACTGTCCCAGGCACAGTTCTGTGTCTAGGTGGGGACAGGAGTACCTTCAGCAGGAGCTTCGTAATAAATAATATTGGGTGGACCAAAACTCTACTGAGTTTTTTCCACAAACTAAGAGACACATTTTTCATTTTCACCAATAACTGTATTGATCTGGATATTGTATGTCGGCTCTCTCCCACATGGTAAAATGTTGATTGTTCTCAGCTAAAGTATCGATTTGATCATTATCACCTTCAACTGTCTACCTGTGGAGCATCGTCCAGTGAGAAATCTCCAGCACAAACCTGTGCAAACCACTGTGGACACATCGGAGCAGTCACAGCACTTTCTCCATACACTGCACATACCATTTTTTTGCATTTCAGTTGCGTTTTTACCTTTCTTGAAACAATAAAGCATAATATGCTGAAAAATGTTGCTTATTTTCTTCCATCTTTAATATTAAAGTGGCTATACAAAAATTCACCAATTTTGATGTCTTTTTTAATGCATGCTGATGTCACGGCTGTCACAATACAATTTACTGAAATTGTTTCGAATGGAGTTCAAGACAACTAAGTGCTACTAGAGCCATCATATGGAACAGACCAGATGAACTTTTTGGCCAGCCATGTATGAGGTACCTCTCATAGCTCAGTGCTTTTCTAATATTCTTTTATCTTTCTAGCAAAGAGCTGAAGTAAGCTGGTTTTTGGAAGGGAGCCAGTTACTGTCTGAACTGAGACCAGCTATGAAATATGACCATCCTTCTGCTTAAGGACATCCAGCCCTAAGCCACTGGCATGGTCCTCACTTCCTTCAACAAGTGTCAGATGTCAGCTGGGGGCAAGAGCTATCTCAGGCCCACTATACATTGGGCATTAGTAAGAGCTGATCTAAGTGGAATTAACACCACTGAGATGGAGTCATTGGAAACTCTTCAAATGATAATTAAATAAACCTTCTTTGGCCCAATAATCAGGGATCTAAACAAAGATACCAAAATCTCAACTCACAGAACGCCAAGAAAGGCTGCCCATGGAATCCTCAGCTTGTCCCCCTAACTTTTATTAAAGTGCTTAACAACACTGCCTTATTAATTTTAACTCTTTCCATGCACATGAGATGGAAAAAGGGCAGCCCAGGCAAACTGTCATCAGACCCAGAAGAGCCTGAAAAGCAAGTCTTGGGCATGTCATGGAAGAATGTGTAACTACAGACCACTCTTGAGCCACCTAAAACCAAACCTCACCTGTTACAGAACATGCTGGGCTGTGAATTCCTGGATCAGCGTCATAGAGGAACCCATGCTGGGGTCAAAACCCAACAAGACAAACAAATCTGACATCTAAAACCTGGATGATGGTAGAAAGGACAGGTACACATGGCTTCGGAGCCTCTTCACCTTCTGTTCCCAGCAGCTAAAGTTGCCGTGCATCCATGAGCTGATGCCCAAAGAGATAAAATGGTCTAGTGTGGAGCCTACCAATGTTTCTCATGTGATGAGACATGGAAGGGGTGTTGGCATTGCTAGAGCGCACCGGGATAATCTGGAGGGCATCGGGAAAGCAAAATGAAGCTACTCAGAGCCTGACGCAATCAGCCGAGGACTCTCCCTGCCGCAGGCCCTGCATGTCACCTAGTGCTGAGTGTGGCAAGGTCCTGTAGGCCACAGGAGTGCCAGGCACACCCGCTGGTAAGTGTGGGTGCAGCCGGGTTCTCCCGCTACTGGGAGAACCAGACAGGCCATTTAACTAGGTGTGTGATCGCGAGTTAGGACTTAACCCCTCAGAACCCCAGGGTGTTTTATTAGCTAGGAGTGGGAAATGATAGCTACCTCATCACTCAGAGGAGCTTCCAGGTATAAATGAGGGGAAAAGTGCGTGTGTGTCTGACTGTATACACATATATAAAATATATAGCACGCAAGTAAACACTTCTACATATTACTTATATTTAGTCCATTCATATTATTTACAGTACCCCAGATTTTTTAAAAGCCTTAAGAAGAATGTTGAAAAGCATTGATTGTTCCCATTTTCCAAGTGGGGAGATAACCACAAAGAGGTGAGTGACTTTCTCTGTTTGACAGAGTCGATCAGTTTCAGTTGGAAGCAAATTCAGGTCTCCTAACTCATGGGACCACCCCGGTTTCCATCCGAAGCCACTGTACCAGTTGCCCTTAAATCTACAACAAGTGGCCCTTTCTTTTCTTTTTTTAAAATTATTTTTAATCCTCATCCAAGCATTTTTTTTTTATTGATTTCAGAAAGAGAGGAAGGGGGAAAGAAGGGAAGGAGTGAGTGAGAGAGAAACGCTGATGTGAGAGGGAAACATTGGTCAGTTGCCCGCTGTGTGCTCCTCAACCCCCGGCCAGGGATCAAACCTGCAACCTCGGGAGGTGCCTTGACGGGGAATCAAAACTGCGCTCTTGCGGTGTAAGAAACGACACTGAAACGACACTGCAACTAAATAAGCCACCTGGCCAGGGCTGACACGAGGCCCTTTTTGACAGGACTCT